GAGATGAATCGAGCTTTATAACATGGCGTGTTATACTGCTGGAAGTAGCCATCATAAGATAAAGGGATAGACATGGTCAGCAAAAATTCTCAGGTAAGCCGTGGGGTTGACACGATGCTCAATTTGTACTAATGGGCCCAAAGTGTGCCAAGAAAATATCCCCCACACCATTACACCACCAGCCTGAACCGTTAATACAAGGCTGGATGGATCCATGCTTTCATGTTGTTGACCTGGCATGGCCTTCTGCTGCTGTAGCGCATCTGCCTTAAGTGTTGTGCATTCAGAGATGCTCTTCTGCATACCTTGGTTGTAACAAGTGGTGATTTGAGTTACTTTTCTTTATTTCAGACCATTCTATTCAAATGGTTGTATTAGATTAGCAGTTTCCAAAATACTCCAAAATACTTTAACGTCACTTTAATCACCCCCCCCCCCCCAATCCCCATTCTGATGCTCGGTTTGAACTTGCTCATCTTGAGCATGTGCTGCCATGTGATTGGCTGATTAGAAATTTGCGTTAACAAGCAGTTGACAGGTGTATCTAATAAAGTGCCAAGTGAGTGTATGTCATCAAATGATGCTACTGTATAATATGAATGATCATCATTATTGTTTGCTCATAAATGCAAAAGAATAAATGCAAAAGAATTGAACTTTTTATACAGCGAATGCAAGACATTTACATTAGCGTCATTTAGTTCTGATTCGGATTGACCTTACTCTCTGATACACTTGCCTTGGAATACTTCATTACTAACATGTTTGTGTAGTCTATATTCAAAGGAAATCTCAGTAAAATATGAAAAATTAAGATACACAAAAAGCTGCTTATAACAAGTTTACTGTATAGTTAGTCTTGTAATTTTTTTTGCATTGTATTGCAATGTATATATTTTTAAAGCTAGTGCATATTTCATGTCCACATGTTGATTTAATAAGCAGCAATGTGGTAAATGGGATAATGTACAGGCAATTACATCATTATGGCAAAATTAATCCAACTAGGTAATTGAAGTCCATGTGGTCCCCTATTAGTGTTCATTTTGCATTAATGACTGAACGGCTGCACATTATCCATAATGTTCTGTATAGTGATGTACCAAAATGAGTTCCGCTAATAACAATAATAATTATTATGTTTGCATTTAGAGCAGATGAGAATTGAGAACTGAATGTTGAATTAGTTTAATTGTAGTTTTCTAAGTAAATAATTAATTTTCTGACTATTATAATTAAATCCCATGACTTACAGACAACATCATTTTTATTCCAACAGATGTATCTTGTGAGACAAATTTAGAAAAAGAGCAACCATTTAATGACGTTTTAAGATCCAGTCCCTCCAGTATTTTGTGAAATTAAATGAAGTTTATTTATCATTTCGAGAGGATCATGTGCTTATGATTGCTTGCAGCCGGCCCGCATTATTCAATTCAGGATTCACCAATCAGACAATTTCTAAGCCACTTTAAATACCCCAAGATCCATATGATAGCCATATTTGTTTTGTAGAATTCCCCCTTCCAGCCCTACTCCTCCTCCTTTCCTAGATGGGTGGCATGATGGCCCAGTGGTTACTGTTGCCTCACTGTAAGAACGTCACTGGTTCTAGTCCTTACCAAGCCAGCCAACGTTTCTGTGCGGAGTTTACACATTCTCCCCTGCTCATGTAGGTTTCCCCCAGGTTCCACGGTTTCCTCTCACCGTCCAAAAACATGCAACTTAAGTTAACTGATTAATCCAAATCGACACCATAGACATGCTCCTAGTAAGTAGTTATCTCCTAAGAGCAACCACTATCTGTTAATCAGTTACTACAGCAGGGAAGTTCTCGATATCTACCCGAGCTCGAGGATCTTATGAGCTCAGGGCTCTCTACCGGGACAGCATGCCAAACAAGCTTTATAATCAATCATCAGCTAAATGTGAACTCTTGAATGGTTCTTGAGATTTGCAAAACAAAACAAAAAAATTAAGCAAATATTTTTTTTGTTTTGAGAAAAGCCTGCAAAAAATCTGTAATTTTATACCACAAGTAATGATCGGCAACTAGCTCTTTGCAACTCTCACATGTTCACCCACTGAAGCTAAGCAGGGCTGTGCCTGGTCAGTACCTGAATGGGAGACCACATGGGAAAGCTAGGTTGCTGCCGGAAGTGGTGTTAGTGAGGCCAGCAGGGGTGCTCAACCTGCGGTTTGTGTGGGCCCTAATGCCCCAGCATAGTGATAGGGGACTCTATACTGCTCAGTGAGCTGCGTTTTTCGGATGAGACATTAAACTGAAATCCTGACTCTCTGTGGTCATTGTCCTTCAAAAAAGAGTAAGGGTTTAACCCCGGTCCCCTGGCCAAATTGGCCCACTGGCCTCTGTCCATGGAATTACACAAAAAGATTTTTTTTTTCAACACATTTCCAGACATAATGGTTGGATACATTTTACAAAAAAAAACATACATTATCTGTCCTTATAAATAAAACGTAAATACAGTGAATCAAAAGTATTTCAAGCCAGAACATTTCTAATGTTAGACTGATGGTTGATTTCTGTGAGTTGTTTTGTAAGGGAAAATGTCATTCATTTGGTTCTCAGGTGTTTTTTCTTTATTAAAAATCTTTTACAAATGTACAAACCCTGTCATTGATCTTGTCCTCTGCCCAATTGAACCAACAGCTTTAATAGTTATGCTAAAAACTGCAGTTTAGGAAAAAATACTTTAGAAATAGCAAGTTTAAGTTGCTATCATTTAAATCAGTTATTTAAAAACATAAAATTATAAATAAATACTATTTTACAAATGTCCCCATGTTTCAGTCAGGTCGCAGTGAGGTTGCAAAAAAATAAAATAAAATAAAATAAAATAAACAGGAGCGCTAGCATTTACAGTAAGGGAATGACATCCGATGCGGTACAAAGTTTGATGTTGTATTAGAGAAAATTTATATTGATTACCTATTTATATATATACACACACAATTGAAGTAAGAATTATTAGCCCCCGTGAATTATTAGACTGCTTGTTTATTTTTTCCCCAATTTCTGTTTAACGGAGAGAAGATTCTTTTAACAGATTTCTAAACAAAATAGTTTTTAATATCTCATTTTTAATAACTGGTTTATTTTTTCTTTGCCATGATGACAGTAAATATTATTTTACTAGATATTTTTCAAGACACTTCTAAACAGCTAAAAGTTACATTTAAAGGCTTAACTAGGTTAATTAGGTAAACTAGGCAGGTTAGGGTAGCTAGGCAAGTTATTGTATAACGATGGTTTGTTCTGTAGATTATCGAGAAAAAATATAGCTTAAAGGGGCTAATAATTTTGTCCCCAAAATGGTGTTTAAAAAATTTAAAACTACTTTTATTGTAGCGGAAATAAAACAAATAAGACTTTCTCCAGAAGAATAAATATTATCAGACATACTGTGAAAATTTCCTTGTTCTGTTAAACATCATTTGGAAAAGATTTAAAAAATAAGAAAAAAATGTAAAGGGGGCTAATAATTCTGAATTCAACTGTATGTATGTATATATATATATATATATATATATATATATATATATATATATATATATATATATATATATATATATATATATATATATATATATATATATATATATATATATATATATATATATATATATATATATATATATATATATATATATATATATATATATATATATATATATATATATATATATATATATATATATATATATATATATATACATAAATATACATGCAAGATTAAAGTTAAATTTGTGAGGTCCATTTGTTATAGCACCCTTCCCGGTGGATATTGGACACGACGAAATGGCCAAGCATCCAGCCAACTATCTCACTGAAACTCCAAGTGTTTTTCATGTTCCATGATTACCAGATTCAAAACTATGTAGTGCTAAAAAGCCGAGTCAAAGACAAGACGGAACTGTGCAAGGCCTGGGTAATCATCAAGCAAAACAACTGCATTCTGACAGCGAACTACACCTGTATGGTAGGGTGTGTGAACTTACATTTTTACATTTCATTTTAAGCATTCAGTGTCCGCAGTTTAATCAACCATATTTAACAGTTTTTGCAGAAATTATTGCTGCAATTAAAAACGAGTAATGTGTATGATTCAGCATATCGTGAACACCTGATATGAAATGAGAACTGCAGAGGCGAGCATTTTTAATTAGCTCCTTACTCCATTCAGCTCTTCTGATGCTGTTAGCCAAAAACGTCTGCAGTTGGCATTAAAAGCAGTGTGGTGTACTGTAAAATTTAGGTTTTCTGTTTTTGGACTTTCAAATTTGGCATCCTACCACACAACACAACGTCTTTTTTTGCAACTGCTATGAGCGGTTGAACCTGTTTGACATCATGTGTGACATAGGTTGGTAATTCCCTAATAATCTAATGGGAATTAGTTGGCATGTAGATGCAATGTAACTCAAATTCAACAAATGGACAATCAAAATAAAGTGTGACAGTTTTTTTTGAAGAGGAGAACAAGCTTAAAGCTCAGGTTCTGTTACATTTTTTATAAGTGAAAATCTACATTTCAGGTAGAATGTCCCGTTTGTTCTGTAGACAACTGAAAAAAAGAAAAATGCTTAAGGGCGTTAGTAATATTGACTTTAAAATATTACTAGAGACTTTCTAGTCGAAATAAAACAAAAAAGTCTTTCCCCCAGAGGAAAGAATATCATAGGAAATACTGTGAAAAAATTGGGAAATATTTGAAAAAGAATAAAATGTTCACAGGAGGGCTAATACCTTGGACTTCAACTTCACATATAAATTTTCTTCACAATTAGATTTTATTTTATAACTTTCATGTAGACAACAGTACAGCCAATCTGTTTTATGACCTTATATTTAGAAACTTTTGACCATGGTTATTATTCTGCAGGACTCAGGATTCAAAATGCTTATCAAACCCTCTGGCTATAATGAACGTGTCATATATACGATATTAGAAAATAACGTGACAAGCAAGCAAGCAGTCATTTTGTTTTGTTTATTGAAAAGGTTTTGATTGACAGCGTAATTCTGTCAGGCACAGACTGATAGAGTGTAAAGAGGTTTAACAGCTCGTAAGGGGCACAACTGAAACAAAACGGAATGTTCCACAGACACAGAGACATGGGAAAATAAAACATAAAACACTGTTAGTCGACTATTCCACTCTTTTGTTAAATGAAGAGCGATGCAGATGCTGATGTTACCTCATCGCATGTAAAACCCAAATCTACCTGGAATGCAATGTAAGAAATATTACCGAAAAGAATATTTCATCCCTGTGAACAAGAAAAAAAAAGACCTAGATAAAATCTACTTGACACATAACAATCATTCGCAAATTTAAATCTATAACTTAATTTAATAGCTTAATTCTAATAAGAGCTGAATGGCACTATCACATAGAGCTACTGTATCACATTGAAGAAAAGAACAAATGAGTCAAATCAAAGAGTGTTGACATCAGACCAGTATTGCTCATCATCATCCAGCTGCTTAAAAAGTGCTGGGAAACACACCGTCCTTTAGAAAACTGTCTGGATGTTCCTTGTAAACATTAAAGAAAACTTTCTTCAACTCTGAAAAACGCATCCTGGCTCTACCTCCATCATAAACAGCAACAACAACAACAAAATGTGAAGGGAATGCTGTCCTTTTGAATAAGACAAGGGCATGAAAGTCAAAGGATGAAAAAAACAAACAAACAATAAATCAAACATAAATAATATAGGGAATAAATAATGTAGGTTAGTGATGGGGGGGGGGAGGACCAGCAACATTGTTTGATATGTCTAAAACAATGCAAGATGGCTGTCAGTAGTAGAGCGGAGGATAAGGAGGGGAGCCAGAGGTTACAGGTTGTACAAACAATTTAAAAATTAAAAAAAAGAGTAAGCTGAGAGCGATCGCTTGCCCTGCCCTGCCATCCCACACCAAACAGTAAATCAATAACTCATTATGGACAAACACTGGATAAACATGAAGTCCCTCAGCTGGGAGAAGGAAATACAGAACAATGTCATTCAAATCTGAAAAGTACATAATCTGAGAATGAAAGAAATAGTTCCACAAAAATAAAATTAATTTACTCAATCCCTCAAGTTCTTTTTCAAACGAATTTTAAAAACTGGTAACTACTGACACCCAGTGTAGGGGAAAATACAAACAAATTAACTAAGGGTAGTCAATGACTACCTGTTTTTAAACATTCAGAATTCAGAATTTCATCCACTGTATTCAAAAGAGGAATGAAACAAGCAGAGGGTAAGTAAATGGCGGTATTTTTTGGGTGAACTATCCCATTAAAGTGGTTGCACAACTGGATGAAAAGCACAGCACAATGTCTTTAAATTTTAAACAGTTGAGCTGCATCCAAATTCAAACATTTGACTGCTACAGTATATTGAATTAAAAGAGCAGTACAGCAGATCCAACTTATATTTTACAAACAATACAGCAGGAACAATAAGAATAGAGTTTAACAATATTAGCCAAAATGACAACAGAACGTCTGGACAATTTCATACTTTTATTGGCCAAAAACCAACCAGTGATTGATTGACTGGTATGTAAATCTACCAGTCACAGTTTGTTTATTTAAGTACATTATTTAGGAGTTTAAAAATGTAACAGTGATGTCGATAAACAATTTGGGGAGCTTTGAAAAGTCCATAACTACACATACTTTTGAAGACCTTGCATTTAGTTGATCATGATAACTACATTTCATAGTTGTAAAACATTGGCTGTCTATTTCAATATTAAAGTTGTGTCTGAGAGCTTAAGTTGTGCTCTCAATAGAGTTTGAGAATGAGAAATTTGTTCTGGAGGAGCTGCAAAAAGGTACAGGACAAAACACATTGATGTGACTTTGATAAAACGGTTGATTGCTCTATATTTAACATTTTTAATCTACCAGCTAACAATTTTGTGTTTAATAGACGTTTAATAGACATCTTAATGTTGACAGTTTGGCTAAAACAACAAAACTATCTTATAAACATCTAAGAACAGCCCAAAACTAGACTAGTCGTCAAATAGACCGACTGGACAGACTTTATGTGTAGTCAATCATTTCTGTTTATTTGATGACTAGTCTAGTTTTGGCCTATTCTATTCTATTTTCACTGACAGCTCCAATTTAGCCTTGTTTTAGCCTAGACGGCTATGTTTGACATCTATTAGTCATCTATTAGACATCTTTTAAAATCAAAGAAAAAAAATGCTTGCTTGGCTTTTATTTAGCTCAGTGAATAATTCACAAAGCTTGAACTTTTGAACGCAGCAACATGCGAAACTCGTTGCATTTTCAGTCTTATGCATTTGCACAAATATAAATGGAAGTCAATGGGGGCAAAAAGTGACATGACTTGTTGCCTCGCTGGCCTATCAGGCAGTGAAATTAGGGTCAGCATTTGTGCATGAAGGCACATTGTAAAACTGGATTTCGACAGGGTTCTGAGACAGCAAAACATGTACAGTAAGATAAAGAGAACGTTGGTGATAACCAGGGGATTTTTTTGCTTACTACAGTATTAAATACTTGCTAGAAATGCCCTCAAATGTGGAAAACGGTCATGACATGATGTAGACAACATCATGTTTATTTTTCAGCTCAACTGTCAGTAATGGGACGCTCAAGTTTGTGGGATATGGAGAGCAGTGAAGGGCACATCTAGACTGCCTTCAAAATTCGATCACAGTTCAGATTCAGACGTGCCTGATGCCATCCTGCCTTGGAATTTAAATGTAAAGCTTTCAGGCACAGCTTTTGTTTCCAGATGGGCTGTTAAAAAATCTTGACACATGCAACATCTGGGCAGCATCCTCAAATTGCATAATTGAGTAGGTACTGTACTTGTTCTGAATAAATAACTACACAAGTACTTAAAAAGTATAGGCTACATATTATGAATGTGTGTAGTATAGTACATTATAGTACATGTTTGCCCAGTTTTTAAATTCAGACATCATACTTTTGTCACACATGGCTCCCATTCTAAGTGGATCCCCAAATAGTATCAACACAACATCTCTGTTTTTCAGGGAATAATAGTTTACATGTGTAACAGAGTGTTTTTCACCTACTATATATGTATTAGTATGCAATTTCAGATTTCTTTTGTTGCTTTAATTAAGTTGGTGTTATTTACAAAAAAGCTATATGTTTCTTCGAACACTTTGAACCACCTTCAATCAAGTTTAGTGATCAGATTATAAGCATCAGATGAACTGATTTTAAACATGACACAGTGCTGAGCTTCTCATCCAGTGTGCTACCACTCTCAATGCATCAAAGTGCCTTACAAATATTAACGTTCTCGCTTTTAAGAAACACCCTGCTTAAACCTTTACTGAAGTGGCTGTACATTCAAACCGTACACATTTTGCAAGCCGCTCAACTCCCTCCCAGGCACTTAACAAGTACAAAAAAATTCAATGGTTTGCAGGAGGAGGGAGCCACCTGTACAGTCACCTCCCATCAAATCTACAGTTTTCGAGTTTAGCAGCAAGCGAATCATCCTCTTTTTTTCTCCCCCTATTATATATTATTGCCAGCTTTCTGCTTGAATGCAATTGTCTGAGGACACCCTGAGACACAACCAAGCTATCCCATAATGCTTCGCTTCGATTCGCAGGGCCAGAGACACTCATCTGACAACCATGCACGCTAGAGTTGAATAGCAATAACGGTTCTGTACTCATTAACATAAAACTCAGAGCAGAGAGAAAGATTTTGGCACTTTGCAAACATACCGACCCGGAGGATTACCTCAAAGTGTTATTATACATATTCATTAGCAAAAAGAGCAAATAAGAGCGATAAATTTGAAATATGGTTTCACCATATAATCTATAAACGCTATGTTAGGTTTCACCCTCATAGCACTCCTTCATATAATGTTAAATAAAAGGACCACAGCACTCGCCTTTGGAGAAAACCAACACTGTTTTTTTAAAGAAATACTATGGTGAACTGTCATGCATGGAAGCCCAAATATGGAAAATATTTTTATTATATAAAAGTGCTTTAAGTGTAAGTCTGCAGTTTTCTCGTAAAGAGCAGAAGCACTCGTGGTCCTTTTACCATAGGATTCAATACTGAGATACAGCAAATAGTACCTGTTTCATGCTTTCAGATTAGAAAATTTCATTAAACTCTGCTACTATCGCCAATTAGTTACTCATACATTCTCGTCACTGTAAACTAATGGAACAAAAAAGAAAGAAAAGAAAGCAAAAATAAAATAAAATACAACCCACTGGTTGTGATCTTGCACTTCTGTGGTAAATAACTTACAAAAATTCAAAGAAAAGAAAACGACCCTTGTTTACAGTACCAAAACCCCACTATAATTTTAGACCCCCTTAAAAACCTTAAGTCTATAAATAGCTTTACAAATATACACGTTAATTCAAATAAAACTTTTGTTTTGCTTTTTTAAGATTAAATGTTTACATGATCTCAACAGTGTATAATCACTTGCTTTAAAAATGTTGCCTTTCTTCTCTTTTTTAGTACACTGCTACCGACTGCAATATGATACATATTTATATCTATATATTTACAATAAAAACTTTAAGATACATACAAAGCACACAGTTATATATATTTATCTTCCAATTAAATCTCACATCTAGGAGACCTCTCTCTCTTTCCTTCTTAAAAAAAGGATCTTTGTGAGGAGTGGAGAAAAGAGACTGGCCATGGGTTTGATTCTCACTCCAGTCAGATATTGCTGTAAAATCACGTCTTGTCCACGTTCGACAGGACGACTCTTATCCGAACTGTGCCATCACACAGTGTTGATCCATTCTTAGTTAGTTCAGCAATTGTCTGTTTTTTTCTGTTTTTTTTTTTTGGTAGGCACGGAATGGTTTGACCCTTCTCACTGTGGAAAAACGAAACTGGCCGAATACAAAAATAGGAATTCTCTTTTCAAAGACAAAAAGCTGAATAATGATTTGGAAGAAAAGCAGGTGCTGAAGGAGAAAAGCTAAATCCGTCCTTCAAACCTGCGAACAGCTGAAAGTCTGAAGCTTTCATGAGATCCCCACACTGCGCTTCTCTGCCACATGCTGGTCCAGTGCAGCCAAACCCTAAAGCTCCCTGTTTTTTTTTTCTTTATGTTCGTATGACCCCGTTGCTGTGGTGGTGTTTAGGGAGGCATGGCTCCTCAGGTAAGGGGTCGTGGGCAAACACAGAGTCATCGCCAGAGGAACAGGTGCTGTTGGAGTCCGGACAGGTCGGTGAATACTGCTCGAACGGTACAGAGAGGTCCAGGTACTCCTAAAATATTAAACGCAGGATTTGTCAGGATTGGCTGTAGGAGTTGAGTGTGAAAGGTTTAAGGTGTTTGGTTTGATGCACCAGAGCTCTTACGTCAGTGGAGGTCATGGAAAGAACCCTGTCGTGGTCCTCCACCAGCTGTCTGAACGTGGGTCTTTGTGAAGGAACAGCATGCCAACATTCTCGCATGATCATGTACCTGCACAGATCACAACATACAAAACAAAGCATTACCATTGTGCTTTTTAATTAACATTAGAACTACAGGAAGTCTATAACTACTAGAATGGCCAATAGTAGCCATCCTGACCTTTCTTACTGCACCAAATTGAACTTTATATTACACCATATTTACATTTGAGATTCGAATGTCTGTTGTGTTGTTTTATGAAGTCATTAAACTACAAATCTTTTTTGTAGTATAGACTATAATTGTGTATGTGTTACTAGACTGCGCGTGAAGGTGCATACTTCATTTTGTCTAGCAAGCAGGAGAGCAGTTTTTTAACACACTGAAAATTTAGCTTTTTAAAGTTTGAAAGATATTTCTGAAGTTGTTTATTTATTTATTTATTTTTTGCTATTAGAAAGTTATTTTTGTAACAAAAGATAAGAATCGGCTCATCTAACAGATGCTGGAGAGAATGTGGTGATCATTTCGGGAACCACTCTCATACTCTCATCATATTGCCCAAAACTGTGGCAGTTCTGGCATAATATCTTTATGGTACTTAAGACACTGATATTTCCTTTGATCCAACTGTGGCAGTCCTAGGCATGGTGCCTGAGAGCATGGGAGGAAAGAAGAGTTATTTATTTACTTCAAATATTGCTTTTTGCAGCACTAAACGGGCTCTGATCAGATCCACCTATATATGATCAATGGATAAGATAAATTTGATAAATTTCAAAAATTGAAAGTATAACTTATTGCCTTATACTTCAGATGAATATATTTGAAGCAAGATGGAACAACCCCCACATACACATTCATGCCCCCCCCCCCTTTATTTGACTTCAACACCATACATATTATTTTAAACTAACACTGTGCAAATCTTAGAAAACATAAAGTTATTATAAGTTGTTGTTAGCACAAAGTTGCTGGGCAATAAAGGCATGCATATTCAAAGGAATAGGAAAAAGTAGCAGATGCTGAAATAAATAAATAAATAACTCTTTTGTGTTTTGTAACTGAAATAAAATAAGAATGTTAGAATGAAATGTAAACACATTTAGGAAAAGTCATGGTACTATAGTTATGTGGTTTTTATTATACATTAAGTGTCAACTTCAAATTGTAAATTAGAGCCTTAATAAATCAGTCTTGAATCACGCATTCTTTTTGTTAACATTTTTTCTTTTTTTTTTTTTTTTGTAACTTTGAAGTTTTTAATTTGGAGAAAACCATTAAGGGCCCTTAAAAGCCACAATAGAGAAGCAAACAAGTGTGATGTCATGTTGAACAAAACCAGTCCAAAATTAAATTTGTTTGAAGTTTGTAACAGCTTGACAAAACACCTTAAAACACCCACTAGTCCATGGCAATTATGTAATAGGTGGGCGTAGCCCTAAAACTTTTCATACTAGGGAATTCTCTCTCTTTAATTACTCTCCTTAATATGTTGGGTCTGACATCCATAAACAAAAAAATCATCATTAAAGAGCTGCTTAATATTAGAAATTGAAGCATAATTCTAATCGAAAGCAATGCTGACTGTTTTTTCATGTATAGTATTTGAGGTTTTCTTACTTTAATGGATCATTGCACTTATTTCAAACCAGTTTTTTTTTTTTTTTTTGCGTTCTGTTAAACACAAAAGAATGTGTTTTGAAGAATGTTGGAAACCGACAACCATTTACATCCATAATATGAAAAACAAATCCTCTGGATGTCAATGGTTACTAATGTTCTTCAATATGTCAATCTTCAACAGCAAACAAACAAACAAAATGATTTGGAAGAAGTCAAATGTGAGTAAATGATAAGAGAAACTTAATTTTAGTGAGAGCTATCCCTTTTAACTGATTTACTGTATACTGAACATCTTATATGGCAACACTGTGGCTCAGTGGTTAGCACTGCTGCCTCACAGCAAGAAGGTCTCTGGTTGAGCCTCGTCTGGGACAGTTGGCATTTCTGTGTGGAGTTTGCATGTTCTCTCTGTGTTTCATGGGTTTCCTCTGGGTGTTCCAGTTTCCCCCACAGTCCAAAGATATGTGATATAGATGAATTCAATAAACTAAATTGGCCAATAAACTAAACTGCATTCGGCTGTGTATGTGTGCGAATGAATGAGTGTGTATGGATGTTTCCCAGTACTGGGTTGAAGCTGGAAGGACATTCACTGTGTACAACATATGCTGGATAAGTTGGCGGTTCATTCCGCTGTGGCAACCCCTGATTAATAAATGGACTAAGTTGAAGGAAAATGAGAAAATGAACTTCTTATATAATAAAAGCATGGAAAACTTGACTGTAGAGCTAAATTGCTAATGATCAACCCTACACTGCAACAATTCTTCATGAGATGACTCAAAACATGAGGCGTTTTAAAAGATGAATAACAAGCGTACAGTTCATGAGTGCAGTTGGCCGGTTTGTCCATCCGATGGCCTTCCTTCAGCAGTTTAAAGAGCTCCTCCACTGGGATACCTGGATACGGGGATCCACCAAGAGTGAAAATCTCCCACAACAACACACCATAAGACCACCTGAGAAGACAAAAGAGCACATATAAGATGATAGTCACACGGTATACCACACACGGTATATTCACTGACCAAATATAAACACTTGTTATTTGGCGGTTGTTATTAAAAAAAAGTGGAGTTAACAATACTCTCACTATCTGTGGCTCTCTCTGGGGTGTAGATATTTGGCAGATGTGAGAGTGGAGTTTTTACGGTTCTCACTGAGGGTGTATGTCTGTGATATGAGATGCGAGTCTATTAAACTAGAGCGAGTGTGTGCGCACACATATGTGTATGTGGGTGTGTGTTATCACAAGCTGGTCTGTTAACTCAGGGCTCTTTTGTTTTGGCCCCATTCCTCCCACGCCACCACTGAGCAGTGCTAATCAAATTAGCCACGCTAAGAGACAACAGGAGCTATGGGCCAGCTAAAGCTAGCCAGCCAAACACACACATGGTGAGTTAGAAGCCTTATGGGAGCCAAATAATTGGCTCGTCATTATATCACTATCCGTTCATTAGCTTTATGTTGGAGTCAAATCTCATTTACACCCATCAGTGTGGCGCTAACACAACACACACACACATAGAGCAGATTGAGCGAACGAAGGGCTTGCTGCTCATATATCATCGTGTAAGTAGAGCCTATAGGCAGAGGCGGATGATATTATTTGATTACCGCTGTCTCAGTCCAGCTGTGATTAAAGAGTATTTAGACATATTGGAAAGTGCAGCTCCGGGTACCAGTCTGAGTGTGATGAATGGGAGTTCATTCAGCTGGGAGACTGTGTGCGATGTACTAACATACTAATCAAAACCTGATGTATAAGTACACACTAGTCTGGTGGCACACATAGACATATTGTAGTCTTCAAATGTTTGGGACTAGTAAAGTTTTTTTTTTTTTTTTTTTTTAAAGAGATTAACACATTTATTTATTAAGAATGCATTAAACTGGTCAAAAGTGATAATAAAGACATGTATAATGTTAGTAAAAATGAAAAAAAAAAAATATATGACTGACACTGCTGACGTATGGATGTTATTATGCCGTGACTTTTGCTCATTGAAGTGATTGGTGGTCTTTGAACGGGGAATTGTTTTTCATTTATTTGAATATCCTGATCACATGACAACACATCCATATTTCAGCAGGGTTTGTCATGTTGTTGGGTCCCCTTGAAACATTTCCATTGTGTTACGTGGATATTTGCAAATGTTGTGACCAATTTGCTGCGCATTTCATCAGTTGTATGTGTTGTGACCGGTTTGCAACACGTGTGCTGTCAAATTGAGGAAGTTTGTTTTTTTTATTTGCTGGTGTTTTGTGTAAATGCATGTGCTTTCTTAAATTGCAGCACGTTAAGCTCTCTCGGCCAACTTAGATTAGGGTTTAGATTCTGTTGTTTTGTGTTTGTTTTTAAAATATGTTACTTTTTTTGTAATTTTTTTTTTTCTGCTAGCCATCTTGACCAGGGGCCTCATGTACGAAGACTTGCGTGGAAATCTTACTAAAACATTGCGTACGCACAAAGCTGTAAATGTGCGTACGCAGAAAAAAATTCAGATGTATGAAACACTGCGTACGCCGAATCTCACGCATATTCTTTTGTACATCTGAATGAACGTGAAACTGAGCGCAACATGCACGAGCACAAAACCCCTCCCTGCCTCCTCCCCCGTATGAATATGCTAATGACTATGCTAATGGCAAAACCCAACGAAAAAGCAACGGCAAAATCAAGCAAAAAGAGAAACTTTGAACAGAATGTGAATTGGAGGTGCTGCTTTCGGAGGTAGACCGGAGAAAAGCGGTGTTATTTGCAAGTTTGTTCTCCGGAATTAACAACAAAAGAAAAAAATAGAGTGGAAGAGTTTAGCTGATACGGTTAACACAGTTGGGTCTGAACATCGCACTGAGTGCATTTAAAAAAGAAATAGTGTGGTTTATAACTGAAAAATGTTGCAGTACACTTAGCAGTCTCAGTGGCGCACCTCATAAGAAGCATGTGATCATGTACTGACATGTTCGAGCATAAACTCGGCTCGAATCCAGCGTCTAATGAATTCTTTCTTTTTTTCCCCGCTACATATCAGATTTTGCCCACTATTTATCAAGAGAAAGACAAGTAGGAATCATCAATAAGTTTGTGCATCATATTTTATTTGCACATTTATTGAATGGAAATGTTTCTGATTCACGCATGCAAATTCATCTTCAGATAGTGTCTTTATAGCAATGTGTGTGCGGTAGATCGCTCAGATTACATTGGGAAAACAGGCGACCGCTGCAAATTGTGCTTTAATGTTTAGCTGGTCAACTGTATGGTATGGAAATCTTACATACCTACTATATGAACCCGTCTCATACAGCTGCCATTGCAAGGATCAGACACTTTGTAGAGAAGAATTTAACACAACTGCCTCTAGGAGTCGCCAATGGAAATAAAACAGACACGCACAAAAAATGTGCGTACGCCTGCCAGAAAGCTGCCGTGAACCTGCGCACATTCCCACGTTCAGTTCATTGTTAGTAAATCCAAACGTGAGCGATTCTGAGCGTGAAACCTGGCGTACGCAAAGTTTTGCAGCGTTGATACATGAGGCCCCAGGATTCCCTGGCAGAAGAGATATTACATCTCAAGCAGACATTTTTAGATGGAAGAATGGATGACAGAAATGAACACACACATCTTATTTTATGCACGTATGCATTTCTGTTGCTTTTAAAAACTGCCTGTAAGTTGCCTTTTTTATATTTTTTTATTTATTTTAGGTTTTATATTGTTTTACTTTTTCTGTAAAGCACTTTTGTTCCACTTGTTGTTGAAGGTGCTTTATGAATAAATTGAGCTGATGTATTGTTTTCAAAAACCTGCACAATAAAACCTGTTTTCCAATGTTTTTTTCTTTTTTATAGCTGGCATCAATACTGTATAATGGCAGCGTTCTGTTGCGTGTCATCGTGAAATTATGTTTGACTGGCATTACCATTTAAGTGGAATTTATACTGTATATATACACTGTAAAAATTATCTGTAAATTGATAATTTTCCAAATTTTGTGATTAATTTTTTTTACTTAATTTATTGATGCTTTTGAATTGTATTACAAGACCTTGATCTTTCCAACAACATTTAATCTTGAAAAGTTAGAAAAGGTGACTTTCATGAACATTTTTAAAAGTTTAAAGTGATATATTGTCTGGGTTGGTGTTGCTGCAAAAACTGTGTAATAACCTGCCAGTAGATTTTCTGTTATTTTACAAACTTAGCTCTCTACATATTATTTCTTAAACAATATCTTGCCTCAAACTACTAAAATGTCAATAAAAGTCACTTTATCTAACTGCAGAATTGAGTTTCAACATCAAAAGACAACAGAGCAGAGATCAACATCCCACAATGCAATTCACAACCGTAAAATAAACGGAAAACGAAAAATACAGAAACTGTTCATTAACAGATATGTTTTACAGTGTCTAGTACGGTATATATCTTTTCTATTACCAATTCACAAACATTTATTATTGTTAATTACAGAAAACATACATATGCTTTTCCTTGTGTTATCTACCAGTTGTCAGCCATTAAACTCAATAGATTTAATTCCCATTATATTTCATCCTTCATGTCTCCAAGCCCAGGAAACACTGGCACCCTCTTTTGAATGGCTTTGATGCTATCGTTGCAGAGTTATGATGTTCCCTAGCATTCCTTTACCGCTTGATGAACTTTGATGAACAGATGGCATGAAGTGATGGATGGAAACAAACAAGAGGTATGCACGGTAATGTAAACTCACACATCGCTCTGGTGCGTGTAGACGCGATCGAACAGTGCTTCTGGTGCCATCCATTTGACGGGCAGACGACCCTGAAAGGACACAGATCAGTCAGAACAACAGCGGTGCTGACCCAGCAAGACATACAGACGCCCAGCGGACATCAACAGGCCTGCAGCTTAATCTCCTACTGTCCAATCTAATACAAATACACTCCAGCAGCCCCATCGGTCCTACTCCCCAATGCACTCTAATCTCCAACTGTCCCATCCAATATCCAAATACTTCACCGACCGCACCCCACATCTAAAACCTGCCGTCACAACACTGAACATCTTCATTCAATGCATGCCCTTGTGAAGGAAGCTAGTTTGATCTTGCTATAAGCTATTATAAATAAGCAGTCATTGCATTTATTAGAAGATAACGTACATCCTGATGTCGTCGTGCAGCCACAATGATTTAGACTACATCTAATGTTGTTAAATTGATGTGCATTACATTACTTCAGTGTTGTGGGTTACCATGACTGTGTTTAGTAGTTGTGGGATGAAACTTTGCATTTTCTATATTCTATTGTGTACTTTCAATGCAAAAACTCCTTATTTAGTGAAGAGTTACAAGCTTATTTTTACCCAAAAATAAGGTATTGATTTTGTTTTAAGAACACAATAATATGTAAGATCAGATTGTGTAAGATTAATATGATTGTTTTAAATATATATATATATATATATATATATATATATATATATATATATATATATATATATATATATATATATATATATATATATATATATATATATATATATATATTTATTTATATATTTATATATATATATATATAATTCTCCTGTTGAGTAACTCTAGTTTTAAGACTTTTTCACACACACACGAAGCAAACTGTTGAAAAATTATTACTTATTTTTTAGGGCACCTATGATTAAAATCAGATTTTGTAAGCTGTTTGGACAGAACTGTGTTTAGTGTGGGTATAGTGTGTCAACAGTCATAATAGAGTGATCTCTATAGCTGTTTCTCAATATGCGTTCTTCAGCGTTCTTGTGTCCCCGTGTAACATCATCTTCAACTGCAAAGTTCAGTTCCAAAACTCAAAGCCGCAAGAACAAAGGAAGCGTCAAAGTTCCCAGATGTGATCTTGATATTGAGGATGCAGACTTGAGTGCAAAACTCGCTTAAGAAGTCATAGAATTCATTGCGGCTCAATAAAGTAGCAGCATTTTATATACATAGATTTATTATTAAAGTTCAAAGATAAAACTTAATTGTTTCACTAAATGAAACGGTGAATGTTAAAATGACCCTGAAAATCTTTATAAAGGCATTAACACATTAAGGGTGTTTATTTACTGAAATCCGTATTAAAATTTGTTATATTTGTATTGTGCAAAGTGTATTTGTAAGGTCTTTATGTATAGTATTTATAGTATTTATTGTGAAAAAGAAAAAAAAAACTATAAATCATTGTATTAATGTTGTAATGTTTAAATAATTTTCCATTAAAAACTCGTGAATTTCATATGACCATCAGGAAGAACGTAGCCTCTCATTTCTTGCATTCTCTGTTGTCACGGTTTCCCGAGTTCGTTCTTCCGAGGTAACTTGGCAAGACCGGTCTCCACAAGAACATGAGTACGTTCTTTGCGTTCTTGGAAATGAGAAGCAGCCTATGGCTCTGACAGGCACATGGGAACAGTGGGCGGGGAGAACTAGCAAATTTGCATTAAAGGCACAGGCAACAGCTCAAATTTCCCAGATTCAGAAAGGTATAATAAATAATCTGATAGGGATTTTGAGCTGAAACTTTTACAGAAACATTCTGGAGACACGAAAGACATAAAAAATCTTAAAAAGCCGGTACAATATTTCTTATTTCAAGAAATCTTACCAGGAATAATCATCTTACTGCACTGACAGATACTTTAAAATGTTTCTAGTCTGTATCTGTATCTGAGTCTTCTTAAATCATTCATTCATTTCTTGTATTCAGTGTTGTCAGCTTGTGGGAAAGCTGCTTGTGATGAACTTTGATTAATCATGTGACTTTCTCATCACAATCTATTTTTAGTGGTTGTCAGTGAGTATAAAATGAATATGAGTACTTTATTAAATGGTATATTTAACTGATCAAAGATATAGAAAAGTAAACACTCTTCTACTCACCCTTCACTTATTTTAAACATCTTTCGTTAAACACAAAAGAAGATATCTTGAAGAATGTTGGAGACATTTACATCTATAGCATGTTTTCCCTATTTAGAATATCACTGGCTACCTGTTTCCAGATTATTCAAAATATCTTCTTTTGAGTTCAGTCGAACATAAAACCTAAACTGCTGCTACTATTTATTTAACAAACTTAATCAAATGTATGATTTGTCACTGATCTTGAAATTTGTTATGTGAGTGTGACGAGAGTTCAGTATTCTCCATTCAAGAAAACTTGGCCTTAGATGATCAAAATGAAAGTAATAATAGTTTTAGTTAGTCGACTCTGAATACTGTTTCCTACAATGCATGGTGTGCCAGGTAAACAGTCATGTGTTTAAATCCATGCCAATACTCACACACTCTACCAATTCCAAACCTCATTCAGCTGCTCACAAACGCATCTTTAAATTTTCCTGAACACTGATTTAACAACAGTCATCTTAACATTTAAAATACAATGCATAACCATATCTGCTGTGCTCCAAAACACAATGCCACCCAAGAGCTCTCTCCTTCGAGATTGATAATCAGTGTCGACTTACGTTGGTGGTCTTCTTGTAGTAGTCAATGTTGTGCACATCTCTGGCAAGGCCGAAGTCTGCAATCTTCATCACGTTGTCCTCGGTAACCAGAACATTCCGGGCTGCGAGGTCCCTATGGATACACTGGCAACACAAACAAAGAGAGGGCCATCTTTTAAGTCTGATAAATACACACTTGGAAAATAATACCTGTCAGTATTATAAACTTTATAAACATGGCGCGTATCTTAAATGACTTCGGTTCAAACTAGTTTACAAACTAAGATAAGCAGACACATTACCTTCTTTGAGGCCAGGTACTCCATACCCCTGGCGACCTGATAGGCGCAGGACACCAGGTCTTTAAATGTTAGCGTTTCGTTTGGGATCTTACAGGTGTCGAATGAGTAGTCCATCCCAGGTGGCCTTCTGGCTCGTAAGTATTCCCTAAGATTCCCTTTAGAGGCGTATTCTACCAGCACGTACAGAGGACCTGAGTGAACACAGTCAGAACACATTCAGTTAGAAAAATCAAAGGCTAATTTCAAAGCTGAATTTGTATTGTGTGTGTGTGTGTGTGTGTGTGTGTGTGTGTGTGTGTGTGTGTTTGTGTGCTGACCGTCTTGAGTACATGCTCCCAGCAAGTTAATGATGTTCTTATGTTTCCCAATCATCTTCATCATCTCCATTTCAGACACAAGGTCTGACAGGTCTTTATCTGTGCCGTCATCTAGGAATTTAAAATGTGAGTTAAAATAACAGTTTCTTTTTTTAAACAATGGTTAAAATGTTATTTATTACTGAGAGGGCAAAGCTTGATGTTCTGCAGTCATTATTTCTGTCTTTTGTCAGTTTATATTATTATTATTATTATTATTATTATTATTATTATTATTTTTGTGGCACTTACAGAAGACAACACAAAGACAGCTAGTGTTAGAAGATCAAAGCAATCTATACATTTATTTTAATTACATATGTTAATAATCACAGTGCTTCCCACAGGTTTGAAATATGCTTGCGGTGGTAGCCAGATTGAAACACACCTTTTACCCACAGCACATAACAAACAAAACAGAATTTGATTTTTAACACTGTTTTTATTATTATCTTTTTTAAACCTTTTTTTTCAATGAGTTAAAGTAAAAAAAAAAGACTGTTGAAATAAATTTTTAAAATCCACGATTTCTCTTTTATGCTATTCAGGAGCCATGTGCACCCACTGAGAGTTGAAATCGGCTTCTCTCTATCTTTCATTCAAGTTCAGGTTGCTTTATTGGCATGGCATTTTGTACAGTATTGCCGAAGCATGTTAGAGGTATAAAATATGTATTATATTGACATCATCAAATTAATAAAATATTCAGCAAATGAGAAATAAATGACAGAAAAAAAGGGAATAAAAACAGATAATATCTCTAAAGATTTTAATAATTACAACAATAACATGTGCAGGTTATTTAAATAAGACGAATGAGTTGATTACCTATTTCAAATAGTATACAAATATTCTGCAGCCAATTTAGATGTATTTTCGTCGTATTTAGTAAAGTTTGTCAGAGTCGTTTAGATTTAAGAATTAATTATTTAATGTCTCTCTTGCTATCTTGATATTTAAAAAAGAAAAAGTTACTTCAGTGAGTAAAACTGTTTCTTTTAAATCGATTAGGTGACTTTACTCAATAAAGTGAGTAAACCTGTTGCTCTAAAATTATTACGTGAACTATGCGCATAATTACGATTTATTATTAATTGTTAATTATTGCATAATATAATATTATTATTAAAAATAAGTTTATATTAAGTTTAAATAAGCTATTACAAAGAATGTATACTCTTTTAAAAGTAACTAATCAATTTTCAAAAATAAAAAACACACAAAAATGATGGCATTTGAATATACACTCACCTTTGAGCATCTTGACAGCAACAGTTAGAGGTTTGTTGGGTTTTTCTTTGTCAATCCCAATGGCTTCAGCCATCACCACCTGCCCAAAGCAGCCCTCTCCCAACGGTTTCCCCAACGTTAACCTGTAACCAAATCATCATTTAAACTCAACAAATAAACAAACAATTAGCTTCATTAAAATCATCTGATGAGTGCTTTAGCTTCAACTCACTTTGTTCGAGTAAACTCCCACTTGGGGTCAGAGGGCAGTTCAAGTTCAGACACGTTAGGCAACATCGGCCCATCGCTGGATGACAGGCGGGCGATCCTGACCAGCGGGGTGTTTGAATTCATGGAAGAGTTGGATTCCAAGGACACCTGCTTGGGTAAAGAATAAAAACAGCATGTTATTGTCCCTGCAAGACAGCGAGACAGCGAGTGCAAGAGCCAGAAAAAGAGAGAGAGGGAATCAAGATGTCTATTTTAAGAATATCATCAACTCTGAAGTGTTGTGTTGCAGACATAAACACGGTCTCTGTTCTCGGGAGAAGTGCTCCTGAGAGACAAAGGTTTGTAGCTGTCAGATCTACCTGTAATGGACCACAGAAGATTGTGTGTGAAGAAACATTTTCCCTGATGCCGCACATGCACACACACACATCTTTTTTTCCCTTAGATTTAACCCATTAATTCTACATAAATAAATATATATTTTTTGACAGTAACTAGACAGGAAGCGAAGTTGGAATGAGAGAGGAAAGGTCTACAAGATTTGAACTCAGAATGTTTGATGTAACATTTTTATTCCTCCTCATATTCTTTTAACCAAAAAAAATATTTATCAGCATGTGGGATGGAACAGCCAATCCCTCAGATGAGATCCACCAACTGGATCTCATAAGTAAACATAACTATTTTATATATTGTCAGAAAAGTGGCTGATTCGTTTAAATTTATATTTATGATATTTTAAAAGAAGACATGCCACCAATCCCCACCGCTAAACCCAACCATCATTAGAGCATCTCATGTACTAAATGTACAAATTAATGTCCAATTCATAAAAATTACCCACTAAATCAAAAAGTTACGAATTGCCATGCTGGATTGGATCTATCAACAGCAAAACAAAAAAAGTGATCCAACCCAATCTCATGGATATTCATACCTTTTTGATTTAGTGGCCAAATCAGTGGCCACTAATGTTTCTGAAGCATCTGAGAAGCAACTTCACTAGGATAAATGTCACAATAGATAAAGTTTTCATTTCATTCCATCTTTAAGCATTCAAAACTTTGTTAAAGGTGTAGTTCAGGGGTGACACGGTGGCTCAGTGGTTAGCACTGCCGCCTCACAGCAAGAACACTGCTGGTTCGAGTCCTGGCTGAGTCAGTTGGCATGTTTTCCCTGTGTTTGAGTGGATTTCCTCTGGGTGCTCCCGTTTAACCCACAGTCCAAAGAATAAACTAAATTGGCTGTAGTATATGTGTGTGGATTTGAGAGTGTATGGGTGTTCCCCAGTACTGGGTTGCATCTGGAAGGGCATCCACTGTGTAAAACATATGCTGGATACGTTGGCGGCTCTTACCGCTGTGGCGATCCCTTATAAATAAGTGACTAAGGCGAAGGAAAATTAATGAATAAATGAATAAATGGGATAGTTCAATTAAGAATGACAATTTACTTACTATTCACATTTTGAGTGGTTTCAAACGATTATGAGTTTCTTTATTCCGCTAAACATGAAATAAGATATTTTGCAGAAAGCTGCAGAAGCTAAGACTTCCATACAGGGTTCATTCACATTTTTACTACTAAAATTCAATGACTTTTCCATGACTTTCAAGTACATTTTCATGAACTATTGTTTTACGCAACGTCTATGTATACGTGGTAAATAAAAAGAAAAATAATGCAGCTTCATATCATAACACATGCTTCAATCTATTTAGTTTTTTAATTAATCTTTATATCTATGTAATATGTATTTAGATAATGCTCTCACAGCGCTAATAATGTGAGAGCATGTGTTTGTTTGCATGTGAAGTGAAGACAACTAACCCATATTTAAGTATACGGATATTTTTTAAACTAATTTCCATGACTTTTCCAAAACTTTGTGGGCTTTTCAGGTCTTACAAAACTTTTTCAGGCCTGGAAAGTGCCATGTCAAAATTCCATAACTTTTCCAGGTTTTTCATGACCGTAAACAAATAGTATGGAAATTAATGGTTTCAGCATTTTTCAAAATATCTTCATTTATTTTCAACAGAATAAAATCATCCAGATTCGAAACACATAAAAGGTAGGTGAATGTTGACAGAATCTTCATTTTTGTGAACGATGTATTTAAAAGCAATGACATTGTTATAACTAAATCATTGCATGTTGAATTTAAGCTGTCCTATATTTTTGATCATTGAATCTTTGGATGTTCTTGGCTGTCTAACTCTTTTTCTAATCTTAAATATTTAGGTCTAACTTTAGATATTGACATTCCAAAAGCATGCCAAGAACGTTGTTAAAGTTGTTAAATTTAATCTGGCCAATTTCAGGCATATACAACCTTACTGGACTAATGAAGCAGCAAAACTTTTCATGCACTCCATGATTTTGTCTTATATTATATGTTGTCTTACTAGTTGGTCACACATCAGTAAAACAGTTGAATCACTATAAACAGACACTTAAAGTATCTGATCAGAAGACGTTTAGGTATCATCTTTGTAATATTATACAATAACATTATTTATTGAGCTTTGATAATATAAATGATGGATGCTTGTATGATTTAAAAAAAATGTAAACAGATATGCTCCAACTCCATTGTGTGAGTTTGTGATACACAAGAATAATAATAGTCAAGCAACACAATCTATTACTAGAGGAGACTGTGCTGTAGACGTACAACCTTTTCACGGTCAGTGTTCTCAGTTAGAGCCAGTCATTTCTGGAACACACTTCCTATTGATTTAAGGGCTATTACACATTATTTAACATTTAAATACAAGTTAAAGAAATGGGAAAAAGCAAATCAAGTTTCATGTGTAATCATGTGTAATTTTTCTCTCTCGATTTTTATGAAATTCTTATTATATGTTTTATCCCTTTTCTGTATGTAACTTTACTATTATTGTATGTGTAATAATGTATTTTCTTTATTTTAGGTTGCCTTTATTTTAAATTTGGAAGGGGGGCAACAGATAAAAATTAGCCCTTGTGGGTAACTCTTAACAGTTTTACTGTTGATTGATGAGGATTGTCCCTGTTAAATAAATAAATTTCAATTTTTTCGCCAAAATCAGCACACTTAAATCTTATTTTTAGTTCTTTCCAAGCACTGCTATTTCTTTCAGGAAATGCAAATCCATCTAGATTTTGATGACGCACTGAGAAAATATGTCAGCTGCAGGAAGATCAAACTGTCTGACAATGATATCTCAATATTTTCTAAAATCAGAACTACAGAAGTAGCTCACAATACACCTACACACTTTCTATTTGAAGAAAAGAGATAAAAAAACAAAACCGCAACATGATTATGTAGCTTGCGCTGATTCCAGTGTGACATTGTCAGACTTTGATTGCTGGAAATAACTTGAGGGGAAAAAGAAGAAGAGATGGAGAGAGGGAGCAACAGAGATTAGAGAGACAGTGCGTGTCAGTTGCAGCTGCCATGATTTAAAATGTTTAAAACAACTGAGAGAGAGAGCAAGTTTCACCAGGAGAGAAACATGATCAGTCACCAGGAGAGCATGGATATTCCTCTGCCACATGACATACACAGAGAACGTCTTTATACACCTAGCAGCCCAAGTGGCTCCAAACATTTTCTTTTTTCTGTTCAACACAAAAGAAGATATTTTAAAGAATGTCAGAAACTGTGAGACACGGACTCCATAGTATGAAAAAAGCAAGTCAATATGGAAGTCAATATCTACCAGTTTCCTGTATGCTTTAAAATATCTTCTTTTGTATTCAATAGAAGAAAGAAAATTAACAAGTGTGGATCAAGAGAGTAAATGATGACAGCATTTTCTTAGAATTTGTAAACTGTCCCTTTAAACATTGCAAAAAGGCATTTTTGTTTAATTTCTAGTCCAAGTATCCAAATGTTTTTTAATCAAAAAGCATTTTCTAGACAAGCAAAAATATTGTCATTATTATTATTGTCAACATGTTATTTCTGAAAACAGAACAATATTTCTTGCTCGTCTAAAAAATGCTTCTTGATTGAACAATTTTCAGATATTTACCAGTTTCCAACATTGTTCAAAATATATTATTTTGTGTTCAATAGAAGTAAGAAATCTAACAAGTGTGAATCATGAGAGTAAGGGATGATAGCATTTTCATTGAACTGGTGAACTGTCACACTGCAAACTATTTTTTTCTTACAGGAGTGTTTGTCTTGTTTCTTGTTCAAATATCTAAACATTCTTAAATCAAAAAGCATTTTCTTTAAAAGCAAAAAATATTGTCATTATCATTATTGTCAATAATTTTTAAATTATTTCTTACAACAAGACAGCATTTTTTGCTTCTTGATTTAAGAATTTGTACATACTACGACTTGAAACAAGACAAAAAATTTCAATAAAAAAGCTTTTTAAGCAGTTTTTGGCAGCTTTTTTTTAAATAGGCTTATTTTTATTATCTGGAGTTTAACAGTTAAATTTTTCCATTTTGGAATCCACTAATCTAATCTAAGACATTAGCTTAGCTTAGATCAGCTTAGCTTAGCTTAGCATAAATCATTGAATTGCATTATACCATTAGTATCTAGCTTAGACCTGGAGATGGCTGAATGGATTTGAAAATGATACAACTCTAATGTTTAACTCTAGGTGATTTGTAAAATGAGCCTATTTTCAAAAAAACAAACAAACAAACAAACAAACAAACAAACAAACAAACAAACAAACAAACAAATAAATAAATAAATTGATCATTAAATAAATAGATCAATAAATAAATAGATAAATAAGTAAATACACAAATAAAAATATAGAAATAAATAAACAGATGAATAAATAAATAGATAAATAAATATATAGATAAAGAGATAAATAAATAAATAAATAAATAGATAAATAAATAAATAAATAAATACACACACAAATAGATAATAAATAAATAAATAAAGAGATAGACAAATAAATAAATAGATAGATAAATAAATAAATACATAGAGAAAAATAAATAAATTAATGGACAAATAAATAAATAGATAGATAAAAATAAAATAAATAAATAAATAAATAAATAAATAAATAAATAAATAAATAAATAAATAAATAAATAAATAAATAAATAAATGTGTAGTAGTTTAGAGAGGAGATAAAGATAGAGTAGAGGAAATAGGTTGATCAAATCTTGTATCTACTTTCTGTTACCTGTCTCTTGAGGGGGAATTTGGACAGTTTTTGAACAGGTGGTGCCGGGAGAGTCTTCTGCGTGTTTATCCACATTCGGCAGAGAATAATGATGACCATGGTGAGAATGAAGAGCACGCAGCTTGTCACATAGATGAGGATGTCTGCATAATCATCCTCTCTCTCCATCTCCACCGCTGACACAGAGCACAAAAGCACAGATCAGACTTCTAGTAATGACAACATGAGACATATGCACCAAACATTTTGCACAATAAACTAAAATGCCACCTTCTGTGCTACATAGCAGATGCAAAATAAATGAAAACTCAATTCAGAATTCGGGTTACTTCCAGTGAGTGGGATTCCTGGGATCGTTCACACCAAAATTTAAATGTCCTCTCAATTTACCCACACTGATGGGGTTTCAAACCAATCAAGTTTATGTATCAAGTTGAACGCTAAAGAAGATATTTTGAAGAAAAGTGAAAACCCGTAACCACTGACTTCTATAGCAGGAAAAACAATCACAAGGCAAGTCAATGGTTCCAGGTTGGAAGCTTGTCCTCAAAAAAATCTTCAAAATCAACAAAATCAAACAGGTTTGGAACATTTAAACTATTACCTAAACTATTCCATTTAAGTACGTAACCACTGGACCCCCTAAAATATATTGACTACTTCCGTAGGCAGTAAAAAAAAAACATTTGACTGGTTTGTAATCAAAGTAAATATCCTTTTCATTTAATGTGTTTTAATAGCTAAAAAAAAATACTTTCCACCTATTTCTTGTTTCAAAATGTATTTATAAACAAGGTATTCATGCCTCACTGTATTGTACCAAAACAAACTAATTACAAACTCACTGGTCAAATACAATCCACATCCTTTTGATTTGCTTGCTGGGATGCTGTGTAACATGGGTTTGTTCATTTAATAATACTTATGCACTACATTGCAAGTGAGCAATGTTAATATTGATAGAATAGATTCGCAATTTTTAAGAATCGACATTGAATTAACCATGTTATTAATAAAGCTTATTAAAACACCAAATCCAAAACAAACTGGCCACTAATTACAATCTCGAGACTTTAATTTAAGAGTAACTTTACAAACAAATCTTACTAATGGTTAGATTAAAAATGTAAATTCCGCCAACATTTAATCAATGGCTACAAGTTAACAGCATTCTTCAAAATATTTTCTTTAGTGTTCAACAGAAAAAACACAATTGAGGGTGAGTAAAATGTAATTTTTTGTAGGTGAAATATCCTTTAAGTCAATCATTATTTATTTTTCTCGATTAAAGGTCTGCAGTTAATTTACAGCCACCTTTAAAACTAATTAGCATGCTATTGCACCCCCATGCAGGTACAAACATCCTATAATGTCCCTCTCTCCGGGAGGCTTATTTGGCACTTGTGCGATGAGCTCCACAGATTGAGTTCAGTGGCTCTACACGAGACCAGCGATTTTAATTACAGCAGCAGAACGGAGAGCAGGATAACAGGATGAGCGCAGGGGATGTAAGAATTAATGAATCGGGCCTCCCAGATACTGGGACTCTGTGCCATCAGTAAATACTCCAGCAAACACGACAAGCACTTCCATCACGAGCGCATGAGTTATCAAGTGGAAACAGTCGATGAGGAAAACCCATCATCTATTTTTTCGCGCTTAAATCTAAAAACAATTAAAAACTACTAGGGTGTTTTTCTAAGGATTTTAGTTGAGTGCCATATTTAATTTGATGTGACTAAAAAGAAACAGACGTCTAGTCAAATACTGACATGTTCCGATACTCTTTTTTTTCCCCTTTCCAATTCCAATTTCTGGGCTCAGGTTACAGAGTACTGATACCTGATTGTATATCTGTATATACAACTAGCATTTTATGAGTTCATAGAATTGCTTCATTTTATTGTAAGCTTCAGACTTGTACCTTCATAAAACATGAATAAATACAAAAGGCCCTAACATACACCTGGCACAATAAGGCACAAGACGTGTTTGGCACGATTTGTTGCTATTTTCAGACCAGCACAACCCTAATTTTCATATTTTGTACTCCGTTATTTAAATAGCAAATCTATTTGAACCAATTTGTGGACTCATGGGCGTGCTGCTCTAAAAAGGAGGTGTGTTGAGGCGCATTGTTGGTGTGTTTTTCGGAGCTGAAATAGACATTGACCATAAACCAACTAAAAGCTGATCTAAAGTCCAGCACAGAGCACGTTAGTTATGTGCCTAAGTAGGTCCAAACGCTCACACATTGCTTGATATACATATAGGATGTTCAGCAGGGAATCGGTTTGTTCATGACAATTCGCATTAGTATAATATTATTATTAGTTGTAGTGTTATTTGTTATATGCATATTTAAATTTGTTCTAATAAAAAGAAGATTAGATTTATCCACCAAGATTAGATTTGTTTTGGCGACGTATGCATCACTATATTGGTTATAAGAATAAGACGTGTGTTTGGATATAATAATATTTTTTTGTAACATACTATTATCTACATTACTATTCGCTATTATTGTTCATTTATGTGTTTGCTGGAAATTAGGACTGAATTTAGAAATTGTTTTTTAAACAAATCTGTGTGCTTAAAAAACAATATGTTTCCTTATCCACGAAAGTAAAGGAGTAAAGAGTTCAAAGCAAAGTAAATAGAAAGTAAAGAGGTGGAATGGAGGAGGCTCGTTCTTTATCCTCGCACAGTTTGATACTTTTTTCTTGCTAGTGTAGCGTTCAGTTATTCCACTAATAAAGTACGCCATGTAAATAGCAAATGCGCCAAAAAACACAACTGACTCTTATGGGAGATGAGACTCTGATTGGTTTAAGGTACGTTATGCTTAAAACAGACCTATAACTAGACCATGCACCGTGGCGCAAACCGTATTTTTCCATCCTTAAAATAGCAGAAGTGTATTTGAGCACGCCTTAATGCTTCTGCGCCCTAGACTTTGCGCATAGATCTTTAAAACAGAGTCCATACAGTAAACTAAAGTATTTTTATTATTTAATATTTATTTAACAAATAGTAATATAATTCACTGTTCTTCACTGTAAAAAGTACAATGCAGCTACAAATCAGATACTGTAAAGTGAAATGTGTATTTTTATTTCACACTATAAAACAAACAAATCTAAAATTATAAAAAACTATATATAAATAAGATAAGATAATCTCTCTAAAACAAAGTCCATAAACAATTTTGTTGACTGGTCATCCAAAACAATAATAAATTAGTTGCTCTTTAATCTTAATTGCTCATTGGCTGTCTATTGAAAACTTTGTTTCAATGGGGTTACCATACGTTATGATTCTGGAACGGTACATCCTAATGTTTACTAGTCTTCAATTTACTATTTAACTTATGCCAAAGTTGCATCATTGCATAATATTATTGCATACGGGACACCATGGGTCACCATTTTACTGGTTAGAAACTTTTGTCTTGTTCCTAGTACAAATATGTAAAAATTCTTAAATCAAAAAGCTGTCTCGTTTTCAGAAATAATATGTATTATGACACATATAACACAGTTATACATATAATACAGATAATCTGTTAATGGATTTTTTTTAAACATGCAAAAATACTCTGCCAATGGGATCAATAAAATATCAAAATTTTTTGCAGTGTTGTTTTATTCTGAAATACTGCCAACACTGGATGGTATATTTTGATTTCTTTTTTCACTGCTTTAAACTGTGGCAACACAGCTTCCTGTGCTGGTTTTCTGTGCAGCAAAGGAGAATGGATTTATAGTTTGCAGTGTTAAGCAAAGCTATTATGGTATAATTAACAGTATAATTATAGTGCATCAATTACTCTCCGATACCGATCCCAGGATTTTTTGTGGTATTAGTAGCATTTTTGATAGTAGTATCAGAATTGGAACAACCCAAGTCATATAACATTAAAAACATTTCAAAAGCATAAGATGCAAAGACAACTTGGAAAACATGAAGTACTGAAACTTAGAGGAAAAAGAAAACCCCGGAAAGTGAGCCTATACCTGGTAAGACTGTAAGCCAAGCAGAGTGATGGTTATAGCCAATCGAGTTCCCTGCCAGACAAGTGTATTGCCCCGCATCCTCGAAAGACACATTGGTCAGGTAGAGAATCTCCAGCTCTTTATCCGTAGTATTTATCCCAGCAGTCTGGAAAAAGCAGAGAGAGAAAAAGGAAAGACGGAAAAGCTTAAACCAGAACCCTTGAGAAAAAGCACAGCACCCATCACCAGGAGAAAGATCTGAACAAGAGAAGATCAGTCAACCCATCACCAGTAACCCAGAAATACCACCATCCTGCTCATAAGGAGATGACCTAGAATGCAAAGTGAAACTCTAGTGGGAAATTGAACGCCCCGTCAGCAAAAGCAGGTCACATTAGTTCTCATCCAGAGCGCCGGTTTAAAGAATATCACCAGATTTAAGTTTAATTTACCATCTTGCTAGAAAATAAAACCGAAACCTATTTATGTATTAGCATGTGTCTCAACACTCAAGAGAGCAAGTAAGTGAGAAAATCAATGAGAGAGTGTGTGTGTGTCTCAGGTGCTATTAAACACACCCCTGCTGCATTGATTGGTAAGAAGAGCAAGAAGAAGCGATCACTTAAATGAAACAGACTGGCCGCAAACAACAAGCCCTTGAATGAAGTCACCTTATTTATTGTGCGAGAAGAGCAGTGAGAGACAGAGGGAGTTCAGGGAAGCTTGACTCTATGCCACCAAAGGTCTTGATTGACAGCAGCTGTTTTTAGGAAGGATATTTACCTGGCTGGGACACTGTGAGCCAGAATGAATTCTCTGACATGCCTAAAAAGTTGTGGGCTCTGCACCAGTACTGGCCTGCATCTTTTTCTGACACATTATACACAGTCAGCGTATCTTGGGCCTCTTTTACATTACTGACAAAACTCTGCAGAAACACATACACACACTTAATCAGAGGCGAGCACGTTCACACATGAACACACACACACACACACACACACACACACACACACACACACTTAATGATTTAAAGCACTCCCACACAACTTGCTCTTCCACTTTTTTTAAGATACTGATATACTTGGGGCCAAATTTACAGAACAGTTGCGTCAATCTGTTATTTCAGTGCCAAAATCTTGTATCGTAGGCCCTGTTTGAAGGATTTAGGATGTTTTTTGTTGATCTGATCACAAGTGGCTGATGCTAAATACTAATTTAAATGGGATCTGAGAAATTTGACCTAGGGCTGTGCGATTAATCGAAATTAAATCGCAATTTGAAATGTTGCGATTAGTTAATCGCAAAAGGTTGCAATATAAAATATATACAGTTAAAGTCAGAATTATTAGCCCCCACTGAATTATTAACCCCCTGTTTATTTTTTTCCACCAAATTTCTGTTTAATAAAGGGAAGATTTTTTTTCATACATTTCTAAACATAATAGTTTTAATAACTTGTTTTTTAATAACTGATTTATTCTTTGCCATGATGACAGTACATAATATTTTACTAGATATTTTTTAAGACACTTCTATTAAGCTTAAAGTGACATGTAAAGGCTTAACTAGGTTAGCTGGACATGCTGTGAAAATTTCTTAGCTCTGTTAAACATAATTTGGGAAATATTAAAAAAAAAAAAAATTCAAAGGGGGGCTAATAATTCTGACTTCAACTGTCTGTGTATATGTAAACAAGAATAACAAATAACATCTGAGGTGAAGTGCTTCAAAACCAGTCTACTATGCTTCAGAAAATGAAACAAGCTAAACTTTCTGCGAGGCATCGCAAACATGGTATTGCTTGTAGTGAACTGCCACATTACACGAGAAGAAACGATTGAATCTTGTGTCACAAAGTCCATTTGTCATTTACGACTCCCCACAACACCCTACGTCCAGAAAATTGTGCCAAAACCGTGTGATCTGACCGGGGCTTTATAACTCGCCAACTGAGTGAGCACACTTTTGTTCTGCCCAACCAGAATTGCGCAACTGATATACACCCACAATACAAAAAAGAAAACAAAACAAGTTGGATTAGTAGACAAATTAATATCAAAGAAAAACAGTATTTGTAATATGGGAATATTTTGGTTTTTAAGTCAAAAACGCCAAACAAAAACAGGTAATTTTTATGAGCTGTTGCAGAACTGTTGCCACGGCTTACAGATTATTGAGCTGAATCCTGAATTAAAATAAAATTAGTTTGAAGCTTGAATGAAATCGTAAATGAAATCGCAATCACAATATCTGTCGCATTTTGACCTTTTCCAAATGTCCAAATGCTTTTGTATTATAGACATGCATGTTGTTGAATGCATTCAAATAGCCCATAAAGGGCTGTTAAACACCTTCAGATAATTTTTTAACGTCTTGAAGCTTGAAATAAAACATAAATCAAATTGCAATATCTGTCAAAAAAATCACAATTAGATATTTTCCCCAAACCGCACAGCCCTATTTTGACCACTTCAAAATGTTGTCAAAAACACAGTCATCAGTCAGATTCAAACCAGGCTCATTTTGAAAGCGTAGTCCCGTGGACGTTTCTGCAGACCGCAATATACGTTCCTAGAGGTATGCCTCTACGTTTTTGTTTTCGTGAGAGGCCGATGTGTGTGCTTTTTCGCATCTTCTCTCTCGCGAGTGCTGTTCGTATCTACGAATCCAACCAATTTTACCGATTTACCCGCCCGCCCGCTTACTTCCCTAAACCCAACCAATGGTTTACAAAAGCCGTCCAGAAAAAGAAAAGCCCTCGTCTTATTTTCGGATTTTACATTTTTTTACATTTTCACCCCAATGTTCACTCGCTCATTTTATTTTTTGGATTCTGATTTTTTCTTACCAGCTTTCTCGAACCGCTCTTCCCCGGACTCGAACGCATTTGTTGTCAACTCTTCTCTGCACCTCAAGTCCGCCGACGTACACAACGAGCTAACTGGACAAACTGTTTGCGGCAGGAAAGCCCTCCACATGGAGGTTATACCGCCCCGGTAGCGTTCTACTGCCATATGTACCTACGGCAATGTAATTTGCTGTCTTCAGAAACGTCTTCAGGACTACGTTTTCAGAATGAGACTGTGTTGGTCAGATTGGTTTTATAGTATAGACATGCATGTTGTTGAATGCATTCAAATAGACCATAAAGGCCTGTTAACCACCTTCAGAATATTGTTTAACGTCTTAAAGCCACTTCCAAATGTTGTCGAAAACACATTTATCAGTCATATTGCTTTTGTAGTATAGACATGCATGTTGTTAAATGCATTCAAATATTTATTATTCATTATTCTTAAGGATTTAATCTTTGCTAACTGATATGGTATACTTGATTCGAAGATAAAAAAGGCTTAGTTTTATTTCCAATAACTGAGTTTTGGAGTTATTGGAGCAGAAATCATGTTGCAGCCCTCTGTATTTTTATGTTGTCCACATTTGCATGCATATATTGCTTATAGATTGAGACTGATTCATATCTAAGTGCCATTTTATAGCGCTTCGTTTTAATCGAAAATTCCCATAATAAGAGTGTTAGAAATATTGCAAGCAGGATTCAAACTCATTTGCCCAGCATTGGTGCCATGACTCAACCTGCCAATTGCTAGGCGTTCGCTATAATTAAATCCTCAAAAATTGTCTTCACCCCACACATATGCGTTTCTGTATTTCTTTCTGATGCTTCATTTGCTTCATTCTCTGTTTCCGATCTTTGCCTTGATCGCAGGCGCTGTGCCACACATGATCTGTCGCTCAGCACTCTCGGTCTGGGAGGGCTGGGGAAGGCTTTAGAGGGTGCGCAGATGAGACTGCGGGGAAGGGAAAAGCCGGCGCGCGGCTCCTAGTAAAATACTGTTTCAATTATGTGGGAGTCTAAAATAGCGCGGCGGTCTGGCCAGCCGACGCACTCCCCTCCTCTGCCTGCTGACTCGGCCCTTCCCTCGCTTCCCGCACTCATTTTTTCCATGGCTTTTTCAGGAGCCTCTTCCCTCGTTCCCTTCCTCCTTCTCCTCTGAAGAGTGAGTGGGGCAGCACAGCTAATGGCTGTCTCTGTGCGCGACGCCACCGCGGCGGTTAGCTTAGCCCAAAACAGATGTCTGCCTCCTCTCTCACTCCTCCAAGAGGAAAAAGAGAGCGAGGGACCCCTAATTCTCCAGTTGCAGGATCTACAGCGAGATGTGAACATGGGTGGGATTATTACTTTGAAGGAGGTTCTTCAAGAGTCACCCAAAGCTTATAAAGAATATGTGGTTTAATTTGATCTGCACATATTTTGAAGCACATATTTTAAACAAACTAAGCTTTCATAATAAAAGTTTGCCTGTATTTTTTTTCCATTAAATCATGTATATATTTTAAAGGGGTCATGAACTGAAATGTTAATTTGCTTGATCTTTTGACATATAAGAGATTATAAGAGAGTTGTATTATAAAAACATCTTCTTCGTTTAATGACTCAAAATGCTCTCGTTAGCCCAAAAACTGCAACTGCATATTATATAGAATTATAATTATAAAACTGCATATATTGAAGCCAATCTGTCAAAATAACAAGATGTATATGTGCAACTTTATTATGTAACAGTATGGTTAAACTCCACCTCCACAGAAGATCAACACCCACTTCTAGATTACTGCCTGTTTAGCTCCGCCCACTGATTCAAGCTGTAGTAGGTAAATAGCGAAAGAGGTCAAACAGAAACCAAACAATGTTCTATGAAGACAGCAAGATGCTGTGTAGTGCTATGTTGTGGAAAAACAGTGTTTTTCCATTTCCCTCCTCCTAAACTCAACCTTGGAAATAAATATATTAACTGTGTTTTTTATATTTATACTTTTTAACATGTCAGTACGACGACAGTAACTGTTTTTGTTTCATGTCCACTGTTGCTTTGTCTGTTATTACACCCTCTTCGAATATTTGACTCGTTTGCATCACTCGTTTGAATGGCCGTTATCAGTGGTTATCAGCTGATAGGTATGGGTGAGTAGGGGCCTTCTGCACCTACTAGTAGGCTCAGAAGGCTGTTATCGTCATCCACATGGTTAATCAACTATACTAATAGAGAAGACTCCAGATCTATATATGTTTTTACAGTACTGTGACGGCTGGGTTTAGGGTTGAGGTGGGGGTAGACGTTAAACAGTACAATTAATGGAAAATTTAATAGATAGTATAAATATTTCTCATTAACTGGCCACAGCCGTATGAGATCTATAGTTGATTAACCATGGGGGTGGATGATAGCAGCTTTCTAAGCCTACTAGTAGGTGCAGAAATCCCTACTGGCCCATATCTATCAGCTGATAACCACTGAAAACTCCCATTGTGTAATAACATTCGAAATGGCTGCTTATTACTGATCTATTGATATGTACTCAGTATTTTTGTGTTTTGACTTAAATCAAAGCCACATCTATCTATTAAGTATCTATGCTGTCAAACGTACATGCACTAGAGGACAAACAGCTATCCTTTTTAAAATTTGCAAGATACTCAATCATACAATGGACTTACTTATTTACCTCTGAGTCTATAATCTGCCGCACCTTCAGTGTGTTAAAATTAGATAATCAAAACAAATAGTTTATAACTTCTAAATAGATATATTTTTTATGAAAGTAAAATCTAAATAACACTATAAGTGACCCTCACAGAACAGTACAACCTTTACATTATAAGTGAGCCTCACAGCACAGTACAAAAAAGGCAGTTCATGACCCCTTAAAATCAGTATAAAACTCCTGAAACAAAATTTTAACAACAGTATTTGATAAGAAAACAGTTTCAAGTGTTTCATTCATGAATTCTTCCAACTGTACCTTAAGAACATTGACGTAGGGGGCGCCATTGGGCCCATATTGGCTTCCATTGACTTCAATGTGTTTCAGCCACTGGATGTGTGGCTGAGCATCACTGTACACCTTACAGTGGAACTCCACATCACTGCCCACCACTACCGTCTGATTGGCTGGCAGTCCTGCCTGTAAGATGGGCCGGTGAGGGGAGCGCTCTGATTGGATGAGAGACAAAGGGGGCATTTAGTCATAATGTTGAGTTTAAAATTAAAAGTTGTATACAGTATGTGTGTGTGTTGCGTGTTTATACCCAGCACATCGAGTTGATAAGTGTGCTTGATTGTCCCGTATTTGTTCTGCACCACACATGTGTAATTTCCCCGGTCGGATGGAACGGCACTCTCCATGACCAAGCTCCACTGCTGATCCCTCAGCTAGACAAAGAGGATGACAGAGACAGAGTTTTATTCATAAAGTAGGACATTACATAAGAGGTCCACTTGAATCTTTCCTAAGGTTTTTCTTTTGAGATAGAACAGGTGCTTAATTCTCTGTGTCTGTATAATGTTAGTGCATGAGTTAGATCCACTAGGCTGATACATCGGAAATGATTTGGAGTTCAAATACTAAACAGGATGCAGAATTGACATCAAAATTATTGTCATCAATTTTAGATTTTAGTATTAGATGTTTTGCTTTTTTTCACAATAACAATATATTGTAAATTTTATAACAATTATCTATAAAATAAAACAATTGAAAAATCTAAAAAAAAAAAATAAAAAAATAAAAAAATATATATATATGTAATAATATATATTATAAAAAATATAAATATATATTAAGGCTGCACAATATATCTATTTAGCATTGATATCGCAATGTGTACATCCACAATAGTCACATCACATGATCTGCAATATTGAGTTGGGATTATATAGTTCTTATATCAAGTTGTAAGTTTAAAAAAAGTTTAACCTTAATGGAGTAAAAATGTATCATTTGCACATGTTTTTAAGCGCTAATAGCTTTCAGACACAATAATTAAAAGAAAATTATTTTATAATTTTAAACTGTTTAAACAGTAAAGTCTTTACATTTCACTCTTATATTTGCATTTACCATTTCATGCATTATTTGTTCCCTTACAAATTCATGCAATGAACAAACCATCATGATACAAAAACTTGCCTAATTACCCTAACCTGCCTAGTTAAAATATCTAGTAAAATATTATTTACTGTCATCATAGCAAAGATAAAATAAAACATTTATTAAAACTATTATGTTTAGAAATGTGTTGAAAAGATGTTCTTGCAGCTAAACTGAAATCGGGGAAAAAATAAACAGAGGGGATAATAATTCAGGGATGCTAATAATTTTGACTTCAACTGTATATTGCAGAAATACAAAATACAGTAATGTCCGGATTTGTAAGAGTCCATTCTCTAAGTAAAAATCTTTCTTAAAGTACCTTTAAGTCATAAAATATTTATAATTATTCATGAATAAGGTATGAATAACTTTAGGCTTGACTATATATGTACATATATATACATTTTGTGATAATGTATGAGAATAACAAAATAACTCAAGGAAAATGAGAAACATTTTTTTATATTAAATTCTACTATTTTACAGAAGTCTATATAGTTATGAACAGTATACAGTACATAACTTGTAAACATAATTAAGTTGGCCTGAACTATTAATAAACGTTGTCTTGTTCATGATTTGTTTAAATGTTTTGAAAAACAGACATAAACAAACAGACAGACAAACATACAGTAGATAGCTAAATGAATAGATTCGATGAGTAGACAGATAGATAGACAGTCTACTTTCTAAAAACATTCAGATGGAGAACAACACAAGAATGAGTAAATAATCACAGGTTTGTTTTATTTACTTATTTTTGGCTTCATTTTGTAATTCCTCGAACACCAACAGACAGAATTGATTTCAATGTCTCTTTTTGTATAGAAAGTCCCTTCATCTCATACACATGTACTGTTTATATATGTATATATATATATATATATATATACACGCACAGAAGAACCCATTCATTCACTTATTATAATTATATATATATATATATCTCTCTCTCTCTCTCTCTCCCTCTCTCTCTCTCTCTCTCTCTCTGCCTCTTTTTAGTCCTCTTGCTCTCGGTCTCTCTCTCATTCCTTCTCCGAGCACTTCGAAAGTCTGAGTGGAAAGAAATGTAACTGTGTAAATATTATGGGCTGTGTTTTTGAACAGTTGCATGGTAACACTGCCTGAGCGGGCAACACGCACATAGACAAACACACATGCCTAAGAAAGTTGGCAGAGGCGCCTGTGCCCCCTGCACTCCTCCACCTCCTCCTCGTCTTCTGGATCTTCAGCTCCTCTCACTGGCTCACTCTCACTCACTGAAGCTTTACTGTCTGCTGATTGACACGCACCGCGGTATTAGAAATGTGGGTGTGTGCGTGTCTGCATGGGAGTACTTGACATTTAATGTGTCTACCGATACAGGTTAACACAAATGCAAATGCACAAGGGAAATTATATTGTTCTGTAACTTTTCTTTGAAAGTTTTTGATTAGCTTAAATAAAGAACAACAAAATTTTAGCTTTTAATGGCCTTGCAAGTTTGGTTAAATCATCAAGCTATATTCTGAAGAAGAAAAAAAACAAACAATAAACTTAGTTAATTTGACACAATAGCTGAAAAAAAAACTACAGCTTATCACAGAATATGAGTTTTATTTTACTATGCAAATATACAAAGCTTCAAAAGAAATAAAGCACAGCGACTGCATAATACACTATTACCATTTCATTGTTTCGTTTCAATTATCAGCCATTCTCCTGTGCATTCTTCAATAGGCATGTTGCCTTTTATTATCACCAATGAAACAATAGAAATAATGAGCACAAAAGTACAACGGCACTAATGTATGCTTATAAAATCGACATCAAAAGAACATCGATATTATTTGACATTTAATTGTGTAAACTGAGTCAAACTCAAACACTGCAAAGACAGTGCAAACACACTGCCAAAGACAAGAAATACTGGGCTGGACTGCATAAGCTTGTGCTGATTGTCTGAGCCGGTTGCACTGAAATCCTAGCCTAGCCTTGTTAACTTCCCAAAAGTATTTAATGTCAGTTCCCCATGTGGAGCGAGAGTATGAGAGAGTTAATTTAAGGCCATATCTTACTTGACGATGACATTTTGTGAGTGTGTGTGTGTGTGTGTGTGTAAGACATTTATCTCAATGTGTCTGCAGTAAAGAAATGCTGCGAGGAATTCTCAGCTGTTCCTCAATCTACCCAAGCACTTTATCTAGAGGGAACGGGAGGAGAGAGTAAGTACATTTATCCCATCTTTCATCAAAAGATAAGAGGTAAAAAGTGTTGCCATGTCATGGTGTACCCCGTTGCAAAAAAGAAAAGGTCTGTTAATCAGTCCAAAATTCGTCCTGAAAAAATTCCTCCCGGCATTACACTGCTAAAGCCTCTTTAACTCTGATGTCACACTCAGAGGCTAGGAGTTAAGACTGGTGTGTTGCATATTGAATTGTGACAGAACTTTGGGAGTCTAGAGGTGCTAGGAAGACCAGGTCTCTCTTGAGTATGTGTTTGTATGTGCATGTCCAGGATTTATGGTTGTGCCAAAATGGTGCAGGCTCGTTCCGACAGCAGAACTGTTTAATTTGACCCACAGAGACAGGAAGCAAAAACAACTGACCCCAGGGCTAGTCATTAAAACGACAAAATGGTTTCTCTCTCTCCCTCCCAGTGGAAAGTGGTAGTCTTGCCGGAAAGCCATCAATATTGTACAGCCGGCCCATAATCTCACAAGCCATCATGTGAGAGACTGTTCTAGAGCCTCGGAGAGTGAACTACAGGGGGACATCAATCAGTCTCTGTTGATAAAGATTCCAGCTTAAAGACACAAACACATATATTCAATGTTGTTTTCACTTAAAGGGACAGTTCACCCAAAAATAAAAGTTCTGTAATAATTTCTTAATTGTACTATAATTGGTTTAAGTTTCTTTCTTCTGTTGAACATAAGAGAAGATGTTTTGAAGAATGTTGGACACTTTTTTCTTATTCAGGTAACCAACAACAGCATATCTTTCATCTAAATCTGATCTATTCTTCTAACAACTTAAAGATGACATGTTTACTGGCAACAAGTGGTAGCAGAGTGAATTAGAAATAAACTGGTTTTCAAACAGGTTTCCTTAACCAATTTTGAGAAATAATGTACATTTAATCTGGTTTTCTAGAAATATACAGAATTGTATACTTTGACTTATTTCGGAGTTTTAATTGTGGTGTAATCTGTATTTATTATCACACCAGTCTATTACCAAGGTCAACTGTCATATAAAACCTGTTGATACGCCATACAACATGCTGGGTACCACACAATGTGTGGAAACAACATAAAGTATTTAAGTTAACTTATCAGTTTTTACAAATTTAAGTGGATTGAACAAAAAACAATTAAGTTGCCCAACCATTAAAAAAAAACTCTAGAGCTGCGTTCGAAATCGCATACTTCCACACAAAATAGTACACTAAAACAGTACGCGAGCCGAGTAGCATGTCTAAATTCATAGAATTTGAAAAAAAGTACGTGCGAATTACCTGGATGACTGACTACTTCTGGCGAGATTCTGAAGTGTGCTTCAGCTTGACGCTACACTATCCCATGATGGACCGCAAGAGAATTCAGAATTCAGTTTATTTTGGTTTAATTTTCACTGCTGAAAGTTCAAACACTGAAGAGCAAATCCATTGATGCACAGCTCCACAAGTCCCAAACCAAGCAAGTCAGTGGCGGCAGTGGCAAGGGACAAAACTTCACCAATTGTCAAAAGTGAAAGAAAAAAAAATTCTTGAGAGAAACCAGGCCCAGTAAAAAAAAAAAAAAACCTTACAAAGATTTTCCATCAGGTTCTAGATGGTCTTGGAAAATTTCCTGCTTACCTGAAGCCACCAACAAAATGCTACTGTCACTTTCAGAGTGGATTTAATTAATGTCCAATAATAATACATGAGAAACATGAACATTCAGGTCGAATAGAACATGGCTAAATTACACACTTGCCCTTTAAACATTTGTAAACCTAAATGAATGACACATCGCACCCAAGCACTAAATAAAGACATATACCGCTGTAGCGAACAGACAAAAGACACATTTGTCAGTGGATTAAATATTCAGCATTTCATTACTGAAGCATGTAGAATTTCAAGCACTGGTGGTCCCACAGAGAACCGCGACTGAAATTGAGTCATCTCTCTGAGGACGAAGCAGTCTTTCTTCACTCGCTTGTCAATTGAGCTGTTGAATATGTTGCGAGCCACTTGCATACACACTCCCCAATGCAACATTTTCACAAAACATCAGTGTGTATGTGTGCGTGAGGTGTGACTAACCCACAGTGCCACAGATTAGCATTCTAACAAAGCGACTTCGGCTGCCATATGTGAGCACGACAAAGGCCACGCCTCCCCCCTGTCAATCAAGGTATCTAAATCGCCACGGCAACACCCCCTTAGAACATCCCCCTTCTGATGACTCAATAGAGAGTTGACCTCTGACCTTAGAACCCTGCCAGAAAGTGTCTGAGGTGTGTGTGTTTGGGTTCATGTGTGTGTGGCCGTTTGAAGGGGAAAGCTGTGGGAAAGTCAACTGTCTAAACAAAGCCTTGGGTACTTTCAAACTATGAGAGTACAGAACGTGACTCATTTACTTGCATTTAAAACTCATTCTGCAATCTTACCGCATTTAGTCGGCAATTAACGCGCCCTGACTGTCGGCCAGAGAGGTAGTCAAACTTACAGCCAGATCCAGTGCCAACGGAAACATAACCGTCACATTACTGTTCCCCTTGCAGTGCAGAAAAGAGCTTTAAGATTGACGACGTTTATCTCAGAGAACTCTTTGCATTTAATTCTGCATGACGCTCCGTGCTTTAACACATTGTTGAGTGCCTTATCAAGCCATCAGGCCTGTCATATCGAAACTTAAAGAGGGGGGCACATACTTACGCATAATATAAATATGAGAGGCTTGACTTTTAGCCTTGGTCTTAATAGAGACAGAAGACATTTAGCTGAGCTGTCAAGCTCCTGTGTATGTGTGTGTTAAATACAGCTATTATGAAGCTGTCAGATATTTCTATGCCAACAGTGACTGCGCTGATGCAGAGGGCAGGTCTGGTATAAAGGATGACCCTGGGTCAGTCGGGACCCCTGGTGTGCATATACGTGTGTGTGTTTGTAAGGGCACGCTGGTCACACTGTGGTCATGGAGAGGTGGAGAGGTCAATGTTTTGTTTCTAAATGTCTCTCTTATGAGGGGGGGCACTCTTAGCATATAGATCAATGCGAAGCAAGGGTGTTTAAGTGTCTGAATGCATAAATGTGCGCATTGAAGTCACTTAGAAGGCCCCTGAACACTTGCAAGTGCTTTTTCAATACATTCTTTATGTCCGTAGGCTCAAATAAAATAAAAAAAATAGGAGAATATTAAATGAATGTGAACTGCACGACTCAAAGTTGGTGAGAAATACCCATTTTGACCCAGTTGCCAGTTCAAAGCATATGTATTTTTTAATTATTCTGTAACTTTCTGAGCTAAATAAATTAGTTAAACTCCCTAAAACTAGCTGGTTTTATTAAAAGCCAGGGAGTTTGCATGGAGAAATGTTGTCGTTGACTATGGCAATCCCGTTGAATATTTTTTAAAGCTATACTATATTGCTCTATATGTCTGGATATCTAAAATTGGGTGAGAAAGAGTGGCCTGTCGTGCAGGAGAGTGAGTGAAGCCAGAATCGGTTTCAATTTCAGGACTATTGGCATTTCATGTGAGGTGCCGTCTATGGATTCAGCCTTGGTAATATTTAGCAGAATAGAAATGCCAAACTGCCTGGAGAAACACAGTTTGTTCGCCAAATCTGTGGAAACATGCAGTGTTTGCGATACACTTCAATTTAACTGACGGATAATGTGCCGAGAGCAGACATTGGCCGCAGAATGTTAAAAATTCTGGTTGAAAAGAAGCAATTGAGTTCTTTTAAAATTAGGCGTTGGTCTCTTTTGAAATCGTATATTTGTTACTTAGCACATAATTTCGGATTGCAATGGAAACTCAAATGTCTTGATGTCTTGTAAATACTGTTAAGGTTTTCATTAAGCGTCTGCATGTATCTCAGCGCTATGTAAAAGAAACTACGGAAATATTAAAAGATCTAATTTTGATTTTGTTTACGAAGGCTGTAGTATTTAATGGGTTGCTTAAAAACGTACAATTCTGTCATAATGTAGCTCCAAACCGGTATGATTTTCTTTCTTTTTTTTAACAAATTAAGCTAATTGAATATTAATAATAAAATAAAATAAAATTAAGTTGGTCACACTAAAAAATAAAAAATAAAAATAAGAAATAAAAATAAAATTAAATAATTAAGCTGAAGGAAAATTAATGATTAAATTAAATTAAATTAAATTAAATTAAATTAAATTAAATTAAATTAAATTAAATTAAATTAAATTAAATTAAATTAAATTAAATTAAATTGCAAACACAGTGGTTGTGGTTAGCACTGTCACAAGCAAGAAGGCCGCTGGTTCAACCTTGGTCAGTTGGCATTTCTATGCTATAGGTGAATTGAATTAACTAAAATGGCCGTAGTGTATGTATGTGAATGAGTGTGTATGGATGTTTCCCAGTACTGGGTTGCAGCTAGAAGAGCATCCACTGTGTAAAACATATGCTAGATAAGTTGGTGATTCATTCCGCTGTGGTGACCCCTGATGGATAAAGGGACTAAGACGAAGGAAAATGAATGATAAAATAAAATAATATAAAATAAAATGTATTTATTTAAATTAAATTAATGTTCCACACATGTAAGAAAATCATATAGGTTTAGACATTACAGATAAAATGAAGCTAAAAGAATTTTAATTTTTGAGTGAAACTTCATTTAAATTGTTTGTGTGTCTGGGGTGGGGGAGATCATAAGGCACTAAAGAGATTAAAAAATGCTAATACTTAAAATAATAAAATGCTAATAAATTAAAATAATCTTAACAATCAGTGGATGACCTCCAATACACATCATCACAAACAACACACGCACGCAAGCAAGCATATCAACACATCAATAACAAGACCACACAGCAACTTTGCGTTCCTCTGCTCTTTCAGAAGAACAGCAACAGGTGGACGTTTTCTCTAGAGACAACAAGCAAATAAAATCCAGAGAGCCAGAGACAGAGAGCGCTTGGAGGAGCAGATGTTGGGGATCTGTGCAAATGATTACTAATTGCAGACTCTTATTATCTGTAATCCTCAACACACAATCACATGTTTGCGCATGCACATTGATAGTCTTATTGGCTTACCTTAATGCCGCCCATTCTCTGCTCTCCCTTGAATTCCTTGCCATTTTTCAGCCAATGGATACTGGGCGTTGGGTTGCCAGCAGCAGGACAGCGGAACTTGACTGTATTGGCAGCAGGAACAGCCAATAGTTTCTTCTCCATCCGGTCCGAACGGGTCCAGTATGGAGCTTCTGCTGAGATAAAAACATAAACATGAAAGTAAAATCATAAAGTAGAAACCAAGCATGATGTAACCCAGGGGTCACCAAACTTGTTCCTGGAGCGTCGGTGTCCTACAGATTTTATCTCTAACACTAATCAAACACACCTGAACAAGCTAATCAAGGTCTTACAAGGTATACTTGAAACATTCAGGCAGGTGTGTTGAGGCAAGTTGGAGCTAAACCCTGCAGGGACACCGGCCCTCCAGGACTGAGATTGGTAACCCCTGATGTAACTCATTAATTCATAGGCACCAATATACTTCTATGTACGTTAATGTATATTAACATGAAGTTCAGTTTTTTTAAAGGGATGTGGAATGGGTGGGGGGGTGTTACTTCTCCGGGAGTCTTCTGTGGGTGAATGTTTATGGAAAGATTTTTCTAGCTTTCTGCAGCAGCGTCAGACTGGCTGCCTAATTCCCAGACTGAATTCAAATTTGTTTGGAAAAGCAAACACACTTGCATACACTCTTACGTGAGTGTGAGGCACATTTATGCTCTGGCAGACAGATTCCCGTTGTTAAATCCTTTGCAGCGCCATGAACGCACAATGCAGGTTCCTAATAATAACCTATTATAACAACTGAACAATTTTCCTTTATTTAATGTTCCCACAAATTCTCTTCATGATTTGATCCATCATGTGGTCAGGCCTGTGTTTTTACGCTTCTTAACGTCAATATCAGAGCATAAATACACCCTTCAGCTAAAATGATAGTCATTTTTGGACTTAAGAAGTGTGTGTGTGTCTTTAAGAGACTGAGTAAACATGCTTTCATCCCGCCTCAAACAATTAACTCCAGATCAGATCAGCCCACAAAACTTGGCGATTAAACCCACAGACGCCACATTTGACTCCAGACGTACATGCAAGCTCACAAACCCACATTTGTAAGTGTGCGCGCACACACATACGCTCACAATAAACCCATTAAGTAGACTGAATATGGCTTTAGCTGGTGTTATTTTGCTTGTGGTATCAGATGAATGTGAAGGGGTGATTGGCAGGCTGGCATTTCCTTTGGCATGCCAGTTTTCAATGCATTCTCAGATGGTCAGTGGCACCATAAAGGCACTGTAAGGATACCTGCCAACATTTGTCAGCAATTTTCCGGGAGAGCGAGGATGGGGGACGAGACAAAGTGGGGGTTATAAAGATGAGGCTTGTGGTGTTAGTAACTGAATCAAGAACCTGGTTCCGAGCAGCAGCAGCGATTGTATACTAAACCAAACTTGGTATGGGAAGTGGAAGACGTTGGGTGTTTGAGACTGTACCAAAAAGATGAGGACAAGGGGGAGGGGGTGGAATTACGGGAGTTTTCCGTAAGAAATAACAAAATGGGAGGGTGGCGGGTGTAAAATATAGGAGACTCCCGAAAAAAAAAAACCAAGAGTGTTGGCAGATATGATCTGGACCCTAAATGTGACCCTGGACCACAAAACTTATTCTTACACAATAGCCCAAAAAAATTGAATATTAAGTTAAAATCATATCCAATATTTTTTACATATTCATACATTGTAGACAACTTTAATAGAGATTTCTTTTATATTATGTTCTTTTAAAGCCTCAAATTATAGATTTCCAAAAAAATTATCTCAGCCTAAGCATGTTTATTCATATTCAATGTGATGTATAACTCTAATAAAAAAAATACATTTATTACTGGTTTTGAGATCCAGGGTCACATATGTGCATTTGTGTGTGTGGTTGGATATTTTATTTAGTTGAATACAGACAATTTGAGCTTTGAAGTGGGAACCGCGAATCTACAGTGACCCAACTTCTTTTTTTCCATTCACTTTTATTCTACAGCCAAAAAAAGCCATCAAAGTGCAGCGCAACTCCACACAGCTGATATTACGCACAGCTTGCTTCAGTCAGCCAAACGGAGAGCAGCAACCAGCACTGCATCATTAAGATATTACAGAATGATGTCATCAGATGTCACATGACCTCAGCTCTTCTCAAATGTTCCAGACCTCACAGCTCTAGATCTCTCTCCCTCTCTCTCTTTCTTAATTAGAGTTGGATTACTGGTCATTAAACTCTAAAGGGGTTTTGGTTTTTGCTTAATCCCTTGTTTCATGGCCTCCCCTCAACCCTGAGACCCTCCCCCAACCCTGATCCCACCACAACAGACAGATGTGATGGCTTTCGCTTCCCTCGCTCTTTCTTTGTGAAAAATCTCAAATGAGATCTCTTTCGAACCTCAGCGGATTCTCCTACAGAGCAATGAGATCAAATAAGGATCAAATGGAGAAAGTTTCAGATTCTCTCATTTGCTGTTCTTTTCTCTCCTTTGTAACAAGAATCTTAGTTTCAGAAGAGATTATCTATTAGTATTTTAATGTCAAGTTTTCCTAATTAAATCTGTCTAATTTTGTAATACATGCCTCGCTAAACTAACTTCACGTATTTAATTTAAATTCTTCTCGTTTAGCATTTAGTAACATACACTACTGGTCTAAAGTTTTGGTTCGTTTTTTTTCTTTTTTCTTTTCTTTTTTAAAAAATATTCTGCTCATCAAGGTGGCATTTACTAAATGTAAAAAAAGGTTAAATAGTTAAATATTTATTCAGATAAATAACTGCTTTCTTATTGTATGCAGTTTCAAATATAATTATTACTCCAGTCATTATTGCTTTTATTACTACTACCATTAACAACAACAACAACAACAACAACAACAACAACAATAATAATAATTCATTCATTCATTTTCTTTCGGCTTAGTCATTTTATTATCCGGGGTCACCACAGCCACAGCGCCACAACTTATCCAGCCCATGTTTTACGCAGCGGATACCCTTCTAGCTGCAACCCATCTCTGGGAAATAATAAAAATAAAAATAATAATAATAGTAATAATAATAATAATAATAATAATAATAATAATAATACTTATTATTATTATTATTATTATTATTATTATTATTATTATTATTATTATTATTATTATTATTATTATTACAACAACAATAACAATAAAATATAAATAATAATAATAATAATAATAATAATAATAATAATAATACTGCAATAACGTTTCACAATTTTACAATTTGTACTGTATTTTTAATTGAATAAATGCAGCCTTGGTGAGCAGGAGAAGTTTATTTTAAAACATTTTAAAATCCTACTGACCCCAAACTTTGTTTTTATTTTGTTTTTATGAATTATCATTTGAATTCTTACTTACAGCAGTCTCTTATGGGCTAAAGTTATACTTATTTATTAACTTTTATTAGTTTAGTATTATTTAAACTTTTCAAATACAACGTTTCAGAAGCCCTCACACATCTTGTCTTGACATCCTTCAAGGGGGATCAAGCTTAAATTTAGGGCATTGAACCCTCCTTCAAACCCCCTATAATTCACACCCAAGTGCTACAGTAACTGACAAAAGTCTTGTGCCAATCCAAGATTTAGGAACAACAAATAATAACTTGACTTCTAGTTGATCATTTGGTATCAGAAGTGGCGTATATGAAAGGCAAAAGCCTCCAGATTAAACTTATTTTACCAAAATAAAATACCATATGGGGAAAAAAGTTTTTTTTCTATGAAAGTAAAATCCAGGGCAAAAACTTTGTCTTGTTTAATCATTGCCATCATTAATAAAAAAAAAAACCTGGTGTATACATTAATTCTTATAAATATAGAAAGAAAATAAGATAGACCTACGATGAATACAAAATAATGCACAAAACATGAAAATCTTGCATAAATCTAATGGTTGTAGCACAACTAACACCATAATTCTCATGAGCTTGGACGACTGCATCCATACATCTCTGCAATGCCTCAAATAACCTATTAATAATGTCATCTGGAATGCCAAAGAAAGTGATCTTGCAGGACTCCCAGAGTTCATCAAGATTCTTTGGATTCATCTTCAATGCCTGTCTGGTGACTGGGCTGGCCAATCCTTGAGCACCTTGACCTTCTTTGCTTTCAGGAACTTTGATGTGGAGGCTGGAGTATGAGAAGGAGTGCTATCGTGCTAATAAATTTGCCCTTTCCTGTGGTTTGTAATGTAATGGGCAGCACAAATGTCTTGACTCCTCAGGCTGTTGATATTGCCATCCACTCTGCAGATATTTTGCATGCACCAATACTGAATGTAACCCCAAACCATGATTTTCCTTCACCAAGCTTGACTGATTTCTTTGATTTCTGCAGCATTAGTGATTCATCTGAAAAATTTACCTTCTGCCCCTTTTCCAAATGATCAATTAAAAGTTAAGTTATGATTTGCTGCTCTTGTCACAACTGTTCTGATTTATAGACACAACCAGTGATTCTAGTGATTCAAAATCTCTTTAAACAAAACATAAAACATAATTCGGCTCACCGAATCGAGGACTTACCAACTCTAAGACACTGTGAAATAAAATCTTCCTCTTGTTACACGCATAATTGAACATATTCTGTGTTTTTTCGTCACATTCCACTTAACACTGTTAGATTTTAAATCATTTCTCTTCTTCCCCCTTCATCTCTCACAAGAGAATTTGCGTTTTAGCATCAAGTGGGGGGAAAAGCAGCTGATGAAATGAGATGCAACCGATCCCCAGCCATGAAAGACAGCAATCTCATGCATTTATTATACAACAGAGAGTTCACCAAAACTCGATCAAAAACTCAGTAATGAAATGAGAAATAAGAGAGCGAAACACACCATTTCCATTACCTGCCTCGTCCTCATCTTCATCATAGTCCTCATCATCACCAGAGGACAGCGAATCTGAGAAATGAAGAAAGAGAGAGATGCTTTTAGTCTGCAGCACAGTGGCCTTTCTGTATGAACAATGAAACCATTCATATGAACTGCAGAATGAGGAAAATAAACTGATAACAAATCAAAACCAATTACTACACACACGCACACACATGCGCACACACATGCGCACACACATGCGCACACACACACACACACACACACACACACACACACACACACACACACACACACATACAGACACAGCACTTAATGGATGGCAGATGTTAACAGAGATTCAGTGAGATTTCTGACAACAGCTGTATTTTTACACACATGTCTTGAAATACACACATATAAACACACACTCCCGTATCCTGCTTCTAAATGAACTCATTCAGAGGGAGAAAAAAAAGGCTCTGTGACCCTGAAAAGAAGATTATTCTGTCTTCGGCTCCTCCTCTGTGAACATTTACACAGGTAAAAGTGTACCGCACACACTCCTAAAATACCAGCGGAGCGTGAAAGCCAACACTAGGCCTATTTAGTGCTAAAGATATGCAGTTACTGGAACACTGAAGCTTTCTGTGTGAGTTTGTGTGTGTGTGTGTTCTGGCTTTTATGGTGTTGGTTGTACTACAACCATTAGATTTATGCTACATTTTCACGTGTTGTGGGTTAATTTGTCTTCATCGGTTACACTGGAGGTCTATCTTATTTTCTTTCTTTCTTTATTGTTGAGTTATGAAGGTGTGTGGTGTTGTTCTGTGGCATTGTTATTTTTGTAATAAATGAATGAACCTGAATTTTTGATGGCAATGATAAAACAAGACAAAATTTTAGCCCTGGATTTTACTTTCATTGAAAGAAAAAAACTTTTAATTTTCCCCCAAATGTTACTTTTGCAACATGGGATCGCTGGACAATGAAAATGAGAATCCACAAGCGGTTTATTGAGGACAGAATGGTGAGGCAGGCAACAGTTAAACAGGTGCAAACAAAATCATGAGGGTAATCTAAAAGCATAGTCAGAAAAAGGCGAATGGTCAGTACAGACAGCAAAACATTAACGTTAACAAGACCAGGAAAACGATTCGTATTGCTACAGTTTAACAAAACTCAGCAATGTGAGTGTGTGGGAGGTGAATAAAAAAAGTCCAGCTGTGTGTGTGTAATCAGGGAGAATCAGGAACCGGTGTCTGTGAAGTGCATGATGGTATGTGTAGTCCAATTCAGTGACAGATGTGTGGCTCTCCAGCAATCTGCAAGGATTAGATTGTTGTTGACCGTGACAATTTTGACAATGTTCAAATCAAAACATGGAAAATCAATAAGTATTGAGTATTGGAGTAAAGTTTAAGCTGGTATTATTAATGATACTATGAATAATTTTTTTGTGTAATCAGTTTGGAGTAATAAATATGCCGGCAATATTAATAAATGATACTATGAGGATTTTTTATGTGTAATACACTTAGAGTAATACATATGCTGGCAATATAATGATACTATGAGGAAAATATTGTGTAATAAGTTTGGAGTAAAATAAAAGCTGGCAATATTAATGATACAATGATTTTTTTTGTGTGATAAGTTTGGAGTAATAAATATGCTGGCAATATTAATGATACCACTAAAAATAAAAAATAAAACTACTACTACTACTATTACTAATATATGTTTGAGTTTAATGAGAATAAAATATCTGGCTATTGATCACAGACTTTTAATACCATTATAGCTAAAAAGTATTATTTAAAAAATGTGAAACAAAAATTTGAAAAGTCAGCTCATGAACCAGAACAAAACTGTAAAAAAAAAAAAAAAAGTTAATTAGAAACAGAAATGAACTAATACAACCCACAAAAGCGCTTCAAATGACTAAGCAAACAAAAATAAATAAACCAAAAATATAAAAATCTCATTCAAATGATTGAGAAGCACTATTATGCATTAGAAATTATTACTATTTTTCAGTATTTTATTATTGTTATCACAAATAAACAACACTTTTATAATCATTACATTGAAAAATAAATTCTACTATACATTAGCAATACATTTTATATAATTTTGTAACCAAGTTTATTGGTGTAAACGGCAAATTTAACGGTTTATCCATAAGAAATAGGCCTGCAAGGGATCAATTTGAGGTGCTGATAAAAAATAAAGTTATTGAAGAAGTGAAAAAATTCAAATATCTTGGCATAACTCTAGACATGAATTTAAAATTTGATAGTCATGTTAAAAATATGTGTAAGAAGGTGAAGCCAAGTCTAAACAGTTTTTTTTTATTAATTTTTTTTTGCATATCAAACTGCAGAATTAAACATGCACTCAGTGATATTCTCTCACCTGTCATATTGCATTATATCATGGTCACTAGCCTCTTGAACCACACTGAAGTCTATTGATTCAATGTATAAACAAGCAATTAAAAATATGGACTTAACGGCTATGTGATGGCATCATTGTGATGTTTTATGTAAACATAACCTTTTGAGTTTCTATAGTTTTATTAAATTTAATTATCCTAAATTTAATTATCTAAAATTTTTAATTGTTTAAATAATTATAATGCTGTTTTCTAATCTAATCTAATCTAATCTAATCTAATCTAATCTAATCTAATTAGTAGGCATTAAACCTCACACAGAGTCACACAAGCAACTGCTAATGGTGTCTTATTCCAAAGTGTAAAACCTCTTTTGGTTAATCTGTTTTCTCTGTTAAGGGAACCTAATTGTGGAATGATTTACCTGTTAGCCTAAAATTAGAAAGTAATATAACTGTTTTAGTAGTGTACTTAAAAAGTGGTAAAAAAAAAACCCAAAAACAGCAGTGTTTGCACAAATAGTTAAGTATTAGTTTGTTTGATCACGTCACTTTTGCTTTTGCCTTACAGCAATTTTATGTAAAGAATTATAATGTCGTGTGTATGTATCTATTATATTTCATAAGTCTGCTAAAACACTTAAACAAATGCATTTGATTGTCCAGTGTAATTATTATATCTATGTTAAGTAAATATATAAATAAAAAAATATATTTATGTATACACACGTGACATGTTACATGTATTTTTTCACTTTATTTATTAAGCTTAAATCCTATTCACTTTTATTAAGTTAAAAAAGAGCAGCTTCAACATTCTTTGAAATTTCTTCTTTTATGTTCCACAGTGGAAAAAAGTAAAACTCATTAATGCTATTCCTCTGCACACACTTTGCCTGTAAATCTGTGTTGCATGTTTCTGTCTGTCAATGTGTCTGGTAGCTGTGTGTTGTGTTAAAGTGTGCAGAACAGGATATTGCTGTCTTGTGGACGTTTTATCGGCTTGTGATAATTGATACAGGTTGTGCCCGTTTCGCTAAGTTTTTTTTCCGGTCTTTCTCCAGACGCTGGCGAGAAGGAGAACCGATTGGCCTAACGCCAAACACATGTCGGTAAAGTAAAACTCTCTCCTGCTTTTTCCATCTGCTTTAAATGATGAGGCGATTCCACATAATTACATTCTAATTATTTGTCAATGAGCAGCTCAGCTTGTGTCCTTGAGTTTACACAACCAAAGATCACTCTGCACCCGTACCGTTTCAAAACACTCACACACACACACACACACACACACACACACACACACACACACACACACACACACACACACACACACACACACACACACAGACACACACACACACGCACACACACACACTAACTTTCCATAGGTCTAATAGTTTTAATACTCTACACACGGTAAATTGCATCTCCTAAACACAACCTTTAGAGAAAACATCCTGCATATTTACATTTTAATATACTTAATCCGGAATGATTTATAAGCTATTTTCCTCAAGGGAAAAAAAGGTCATAATGTAAGGAATACTAGATACACACACCATACCTGTACAGTCCACAAAAATAAATCTTTAAAATAACGATGTACATTCTGCTATGCAATTATGTAGTTAATGATGTTTTTTGTTACAGTATAAACATGTTCAGAACAGCATATCATTATACCACTACTGCTACATCTGCTGTATTTTTAGTGTAAGATATGTGAAAAAATATAGAATATAAACCTATATATATATATATATATATATATATATATATATATATATATATATATATACAACCTAACCCAGATCTATTAGCCCCTTTGTTTATTTTTTTCTTGCAAACATGCAAACTCCACACAGAAACGCCAACTGACCCAGCCGAGGCTCGAACCAGCGACCTTCTTGCTGTGAGGCAACAGCACTACCTACTGTGTTACCGCGTCACCATTTTACAATTAATATATTTAAATTATAATACTTTACTGTAGGAGTAGTATTGCTCTGAATACAACAGATGACATATAAAGATTACATGTCAAGAGTACTATTAATTATTTATTAACACAATACGAGTGATTTGACAGATCAACAAACTGATGTTTCAATCACAACTAATGAAAATCTGACACACAGACGAACAACAACTCTGTCTATTCCAGAATCTTTCACACTAATTTAAATTCCGACTACTGGCTAATTCTGAAAACGTACTGGTATATACATTTCTGAAGAGAGCCACAAATGTCCCAGGAGGTACGTTTTTGCATTTTTTTTTTTCGCGAATCTGCCAGAGGTTGTCGATTGACTGACTGACAGACCAACTAGCCCAATGTCCTTCTTCCCTAAACCCAACCGACAGTGTTTTAAAAAGCACTGATTGATTAGCGCCCACTCACTTCCCTAAACCCAACCGCAGTGTTTTCAAAAGCAATCCAGAAAAAGGAAAAACCCTTGCGGCAGCCAGATTTTCACCACGTTTTCAGATTTTACCACATACCACACTTGTAATTTACTTGTTTATTTATTTATTTTTTTTTTGCCATTCTGTAACCTTTCTTTACCGGACTTGAACCCTGTTGTAACAGTTAACTCCTCTCTGTGACTTAAATCCTCCGACATAAGTGGTGAGCCGCTGGACAAAGTGGTAACAGCAGAAAAGCCGTCCAAACGAAGATAAGAAGTCAGCTGGTAAGCTCAAAAGGGAGTTATACCGCCCTGTGGCGTCCATTTTAAAGATGAAATGCAGCCATACATTCCTCTGGCTACAAAATTTGCGATCTCCAGAAATGTATATAGAGCAACGTTTTCAGAATGAGCCTATGTTGAATCTCTAATAACCAGAATCTACCATTTCTCCCTCTATTTCCCCAAGGAGGCGCTATTTTGTGTATTTTGTACTAGAATATTAAAAATCACCTAGACTGTTAACATTCCACCTTGCTCTGCTTGTACGATAAACGTCAAGTCAGCCAGGAGGTGTGTGTCTCAAGATCTGTTTGCCTGTTGGGAACGAGTCTGACTGGCGAGTTTCCAATTAATGCTTTGCATGCCTGAGCTTGTGCACTGAAGTCTACAGTAGAAAAGGAAGAACAGCACTTAAATGACATTAAGAAGCACTGACCGATGACTTTGACGGTGTAGTTGCTCAGAAGCATGCTCTTGTGGGCATGTCTGCAGGAGTAAACACCCGAGTCTTCATAGGAGACATTGATGATGCGGAGGGCTTTCTGGCCCACTCGTGTACGGTTGCTTGAAGAAACGGCGTCTCCGTCTTTTTGCCATACAATGGGAAGGAGGAAGTCTTGCGGCGTGCAGGACAGAACTACTGTATCCCCGACTCCCGCCACATAGTCCTCCAGAAACACCTCCACCTCACTCGATACCCAGTCTAACAGAGACAAGACAGACAGAGATGAGTTAATGGAGGATCTTCAACCTGCAGTCAATCGAAGTTTTATAATAACATGTATATTTGCATCATGCTGTTCTGATTTTATTAACTGATTTAAAGTGTTACTTCACCCAAACATTTAAATGCTGTTATTAATTACTGTTAATTCCCTAAGACCTGTGTTCATCTTCAAAGCACAATTTAACATGTTTTAAATGAAATCTGAGAGCTCCCTCTTCCTCCATATACAGAAATGGTCCTAAGACGTCCAGAAAAGGAACTAGAAACTTTTGTCAAAACATTTTTATGTGGCTTCAGGTGTTCAACTGCATTCATATGTAGCTTCATTAACACTTTTGTGCAACAAAAAATGGTCAAAATTAACTTTGCAACCTGCAAACATTGTATATATTAAACGTGCACCCTGACTTTCCATGAAAGATCCAGTATATGTAAACAAAGTCTTTTTGTTTACAGGTTTTTTGTTGCACAAAAGTGTTCTTGGAACTTCAAATGATTACAGTTGAACTACTGAAGTCACATGGACGGTTTTGACAGTGTTTTGAACATTTTAAACGTATTGCTGTCAATGGAGGATAAGAGAGCTCTTATGTTTCATATAAAATATCTTAATTTGTGTATAGAAAACAAACCAAGGTCCCAGGGGATTGGAAAGACATGAGGGTAAGCAATTAATAACAGAATGTCCCTTTTTGGCTAACCAAAACCCTTTAAATGTGTGCTGAGGGCACAGTACTCATTAGGATTAGGATTAGGATTAGTTTTTAAACTTAAATGGTTTGTTACAATCGGTTTCCTCAAATGTTTTGAGTTACCTTAACATTTTTGGTTTTACAGTGCAGCAGATGCCCTTCCAGCTGCAAAAAATGTCAAATGTAATAATATTGCATAATATGTAATAATATTAACATAATAGATGGAATTTGGTTGGCAGTTCATTACACTGTGGCGACCCTAGATTGATAAGGGACTAAACCAAAGTGAAAATGAATGATTTAATGTATTTTATTGACGTCTACCCCTACCCTAACCCTAAACCCAACTTTCACAGTAATTTAAAATAGATCTTGATCTGGCGTGTTCTTTATTAGTATAACTGATTAACCATGATAAATATTTATATTATTTGTTAAATTTCCCATTAAATCTATTTTATTAATGTCTACCCCTATTCCAACCCTAAACCCATTGTTACAGTAATGTAAAAATAGATCTGGATCTGGGTCTTCTCTGTTAGTATTGCTGATTAACCATGGGTAACCATATCAGCTGATAACCACTGATAACGCCCATTTAATCGAGTGATAACATTCGAAGCAGCTGCTCAAACAATCACGATCTGTCATTTAACCAGAAGATTGAGGTAAAAAAGAAACATAATAGAGAAAATGTTTTAAATGTAGGTGGATTGAACATACTGTAAAACAAATATGTTGTCCCAAAATACTTAAAAATTGTGTTGTTTCCAAATATCAATATTTTGAATATTGTTCGTGGGACAACATTTCTCTTAGCCAATCAGTGTCTGTCTCTTTAGCAGAAGATGAAGGTAAAAAAAAAAAAAAAACTTAAACAAGTATTTATATACATTTAGATAACTAATAGAATCACTTTCTAATTACAAAACAGTATGTTCACTTGGAAAATTCTAGAAAATCAATCATGCTTATTAGTTTGGATAAGTGCTCTATATGTTTCTGTAAAAAATAAAAGGATCAAATCATATCCTTGGCATTCGCTAACACCTTGATCTAGCAAAACAGCACCATTAATTAAGATACATGGATCCAAATTTCAACTGGATTATATTGAAAGATCTAAAATGAATAATATATAATACTGTAACACCATTCTCTCTCTCTGGGATCATTCTAACATCACACGAACGCACACAAGGAAAAACAAACAAATATGTTTATTACCCACCCCGGCGAACGCCATGGAGACCCCGCTGAGAAACAGAAACACAACATGCTCAAATAAATATTCCACCTGACGTTATTTTCCCCTTCACCTCCGTAAGACCCGGCTTTCTTTCTGTAGCATCTCTATCACTCTTTCATTCTCTCTTTTCAAAGTGACATTCATCTCTGCGAACAGCGGTGACAGACTTACAAAGGATTGATATATTTGATAGATGTTGCGCTGATGTGTGTGTATGAGGTCAGGAGTGTGTTGGCAGACGACTGGCAGACAAGACTAAGCTCGAGCGGAATACAGAATGGTGGTGTATGAATTATAGATCGCCCGCTACATGTGAAGGCATACACGCGCTGGTAAGAGCAAAGTCCAAAAAACACCACTGTTTCTGAGGGAGTCTGAAGGCCACGTGAAGAGTTAATATCTCTTTGATCACTTCTCATATCGCTTCTCATGTGTTTCACTCTTGACGCCGTCACCGTCCCCCCTTTTTCTACCTTTCATCTTGTCTTTCACTCAACTTTACCCCCCCCCCCCCCCCCCCCCTCAACTCCACCACTCAAATCCATAGTGCTGACATCAGACGGAGACTCCTTCAGTGAATAAATGCTGCTCTGTGTGTGTCTGAGTTTATTCAACAGTATATCCTGCGAAAGAGAGGGAGTGTGTGAGATGTGTATGAGTGTTTGTGTAACGTATGCTGGGCCCAGTGAAGGACACTAATGTGCGTGGGGGAAGGGTTTATAAATAAATATCGTAAATGGCTACTAGTGTTTCCATATTTCCCAGGAGGTGTGTGGAGAATAGAGGCAGTGTGAGCGCTGAGGATTTACAGGGCTGATATGGAAACCTTGTGAGGTCTACAGATTTAGGCTTTTATTAGGGGTGTAGCGGTTCACTTAAGTTGGTTTGGTTCAATATTACACAGTAGTTGTTATAATTTGGTACATTTTCGATACAGTAAAATAAAGAAATCTCTTTATATTTTTTTAGTTTTCTTTTTTAAAACCAAGATCATAAAGAATGCGATTTTCTGTGTCTTATTAGCACCACACAAAACAAAATCAGCTGCTTTATGTACTTATGTACACTGTAAAAAATGCTGGGTTCCACACAATTTATTCATGCTGTCCAAACACAATAATTTAATTGATTTTATAAATTTAGGTGGATTAAACATAAAACAAATAAGTTTTTTCCAAAAATACTTAAGAATTGGGTTGTTTCCCAATATCATTAATGTGACTATTGTACGATATTTCTCTCAGCCAATCCCTGTCTGTCATTTCAGCAATAGATCGTGGTGATAAAAATGAAAGTTTTATTTATATACATTTAGATCAGTGGTTGCCAACCCCCAGGCTGTGGACCATTGCCGGTCCACAGATCAATTGGTACCGGGCCACAGAAAAAATCATTAAGTCTTACTAAATAAACTAACTTTTATTTTGAAAAATGATTGTATTCTCTCGGTTACATCTGTCACTTGAGTGCCATAATTTAACCCACAAACTATCAAATTGAGTAAAGTCACAGTCACATTGAATTTTCGCCCCACAGACTTCCATTCATATGCAGGCGAATGTGACAGAAAGCTTGTGTGACAAGTTTCGCAGTTTGCTGCATTGCAAAGTTCAAGATTGGTGAGCTCTGATCTGTGCAATCGCATCACTTTACTGCATGAGACCTATCGAAGTTCAAAACATGATCTCTCTGTACAGAAATTTAAAATAAGGACAAATCACTAACTTTTTGCAATGTCTAATCATCCTATTTTATCCCACCCTTTTTCGAAGCTTTATACGACAGATTTTTGCATGCTCAAACTCTAGTGTGACCGTGGCATAACAAACAGACGTCTTTGGAAAGTTTCTTTGCGAAGGGAAAAGGGCCTAGTGAAGGACCCTCGAACTGGCAAGGAATGGATCCGCAACCTATTTGTCAACAAATCAGGTGAATTCAGTATGTCTTTTCAAGAAAAAGATCAACGGCTGGAGGTCACAAATGACAGCGGCTGTTCACATATCACGTCTTTTCCATTCAAAAGTTCGTTATTTCCAATCAATTGTGCTCATATTGGGAGCGACTTGCGAGGCACATCCAGTTGAAAGCATCTTAAGAATAATGTGCCTGCACGTCATTCTTGTCAAGTGACATGAACCAACTGATCAGCTTCATATTTTGTATGGAATACACATATCGGTAAACTAGACAAACATTGCAGTGCTTTTTAATTTTCTCCATAAGCAAAACTTGTATCATAGTAGCAGCAACGTTTTGTCAGCTTGTCATCCTTTGAGAAAACAGTTAATTGTTGCCCGGCAATCCACGTACAACCACCAACCCTCTCCACTCCGGGCCATAGAAAAAATTTCAAGCATTGACCGGTCTGCAGTGATAAATGGTTGGGGACCACTAATTTAGATAATAAATAGAATGACTTTCCAGTTTATGTTCCTTGGCATTCTTTGAAACCATGATCTAGCATACTTAAAAACTGCATAGTTTCAGCAAATTTTTTAAATAACTAGTATGAACAAGCAGCAAAGTATTTTTATTGTAATATTGTAGCTGTTTAACAAAAAAAAAAAAAAAAAAGAGAGAAATTAATAATATTAAAAAAAAGAAGAAATTTCTCAAATCTTTTGCAATGTAGAAAACCACTGGCATTTTCTTGAGTGAAATTGAGCAGTTTTATGAGAAAATCTACAATATCTTGGATTGAAAAAGTATTTGAAAATATATATTTTCAGATTTGTCCGATTTAGCTAACTTTGGTTGGTCAGTTAAATAAATTCACCACCAATCTAGAAAGCAGCTTGATTGGAAAGAATTCCCATGAGCTGTGCTTTAATGCCAATTAACATTCATTACAATAATAACAATATGCCTATATTTCTAAAACCTGTTCTGATTAATAAAACAATAACAGCGTTCAGACCACATTGATACCAATAATTATTTAGAGAACTTATATCATTGGGCTCACCTTCACAACATTTCAGTGAAGCTCTCAAACACTTTACAGTATGCATACACTGCACATATACAGTAAT